CTGACAGTCTGCTGACCCCTGAGCAGCCACTGTGTCCTGGAGGGGCCTCTGGTGGCCCATCTAGAAGTGGCTCCCCTAAGATGGAGGCCGGGCCCCAGGGGTGTGCTTCTGAGCCCCGGCCCCACTGTGGCGAGCTCTCCCCATCCTTCCTGAACCCACCTCTGCCCCAATCCACAAATGACAGTGACCTCTCAACTGAGGAAGCTCAGCTGGTAGGGAGAGGGGGGCGGCGCCGGGCGGGGGGCCCTGGGGCCACAGGGGGCCCATGTCCCGTGGCAGATGAGACACCCCCGACGTCAGTCAGCGACTCAGGCTCCTCACAGTCAGATTCTGACGTTCCGCCAGAAACCGAGGAGTGTCCATCTATCACAGCTGAGGCAGCCCTCGACTCAGACGAAGACGGGGACTTCCTGCCTGTGGACAAAGCTGGGGGGGTCAGTGGAATGCACCATCCCAGGCCTGGCCATGACCCACCTCCACTCCCTCAGCCAGATCCCCGCCCGTCCCCTCCCCGCCCCGATGTGTGCATGGCAGATCCTGAGGGGCTCAGCTCAGAGTCTGGAAGGGTAGAGAGGCTGCGGGAAAAAGAGAAGGCACAGGGGAGAGTAGGGCGCAGGGCCCCAGGCCGGGCCAAGCCAGCATCTCCTGCGCGGCGTCTGGATCTTCGGGGAAAACGCTCACCCACCCCAGGTAAAGGGCCTGCAGATCGAGCATCCCGGGTCCCACCCCGGCCACGCAGCACTCCCAGCCAGGTCACCCCCGCAGACGAGAAGGATGGACACAGCCCCATGTCCAAAGGCCTAGTCAACGGCCTCAAGGTAGGACCAAGTAAGTATGCTGTGAGCAGCAGAGATTGTGGATTGGGGCTGGGTGTGGCTGGTCTAAGGCCCCAGGAGTGGGAGGAAGGGAAGGGAAGGGAAGGGAAGGGAAGGGAAGGGAAGGGAAGGGAAGGGAAGGGAAGGGAAGGGAAGGGAAGGGAAGGGAAGGGAAGGGAAGGGAAGGGAAGGGAAGGGAAGGGAAGGGAAGGGAAGGGAAGGGAAGGAAGGGTTGGTTGGTTGCCAAAAGCAGTCTCCTTTCCCTCTACAATGAGTCCTGGCTTGTCTCTCCAGTGGCCTTGGGTTCCAAGGGCAGCTCCGGCCCCCCTGTATACGTGGACCTCGCCTACATCCCCAATCATTGCAGTGGCAAGACGGCTGATCTTGACTTCTTCCGACGAGTGCGTGCATCCTACTATGTGGTCAGCGGGAATGACCCTGCCAACGGCGAGCCAAGCCGGGCTGTGCTGGATGCCCTGCTGGAGGGCAAGGCTCAGTGGGGGGAGAACCTCCAGGTGAGTGACGGGAGATGCCACGGAGGCAGTATGGCCAAAGGTTACTCAGAGGCATAATGCGGCACAGTCTTTATTCATAAAAGGACCGAGCCCTTACTATGGGTAGTTTCCTGAACCATCAGGTATCCCACCCCCCTCACATGTGTTCCCTTCACATGATCACACCAGGCATGTCTTCTCTCCCTCCTAGGTGACTCTGATCCCTACCCATGACACGGAGGTAACGCGCGAGTGGTACCAGCAGACTCATGAGCAGCAGCAGCAGCTGAACGTCCTGGTCCTGGCCAGCAGCAGCACTGTGGTCATGCAGGATGAGTCCTTCCCCGCCTGCAAGATTGAGTTCTGAAAAAACCACCCTCCCTTCCCCAAGGATCTGCTCCCCCGGCTCCCTTAGAGAATGGCTACTGCTGCGTCTTTGGGGTTTGGGGACACGTGAGCTGGGGAGGGAGAGGGCGGGGGACAGGGTGTCTTGTGGGAACTTGGGCCGGGCTAATTGGGAAGGGTTGTCCCTTCCCCTCATCCATACTTGAGAGGAGTCTCAAAACCAAAGGTAACAGGATAGGGAGAGGGCACAAAATTAGGATAGGAAGTCATCTGATGCCCGAGAACTCTGGAGTGACACCTCTCCTAGCACTGCCAAATGCTGGGATTGCATGGGGTTAAGGATGAATCTGAGAGTGCAACCTTCCCTCTCATGGAAGATCATAGCCACAACCCCAGGGACCTCTTTATCTCTATTTATTTAGCATCCTAAGGATTTCCAATAGTAACTTATGTGACCTGGGGGTAGGATACTGTCAGTGAGATGCCTAGAGCTGCACCCTTCACCTCCCATCCCCTTACCCACCAGGGTCGGGGTTCCAGCAGAGGTCTGGGGGTACACTGCTGCTACACTGTCCCACTGCTTCCCTCCGTACCTGAATGTCTCAACCCAAAACTTGAAGCATTCGACCGACAGACTGGTGAGAGAAGGAAAGAGCTTATCCTCCCAGTCCCTGCTTCATACCATTCACACCCCAGAGTTGTGCCCAGACCAGGCCTACTGGGCAGCACAAAGGGGCAAGGAGAGCCCAGCCCCAAATCCAGAATTTCCCAAGCTCCCTGACCTTTTGAAGTTTTCACCTACCCATTCCAATGATCCTGATCCCTTCTCACCCCCTGCTTGGCTTTTCTGCATGTGGTCATCTACTGTGGCCTGGTGTGTAATGGATTAAAAATAAGCCACTGCCTCACATCCCAACATCTGACACCTCAGCAATGTGTGACTCCCCAACATTCCACTATGCCATCCCGCAGCTGAAATGGGAACGCTGGCTGCCTTTTCAGCCCCATACATACTCTTAGAGAGGATCTGGGAGGTGGAGGTCATGCCAGAGTACTTGGGGGAAAGGAGGAGGAGGAAGGAAAGGGAGAAGAAGCTGAGCTAAAAAGCTTAACTCCTACTGAGTGAGATGAACACAGGCTGAAAATACCATCTCAGGAGAGGACCTCACCCCAAGCAAGCCAATGAGCAGCCTTGCCAGACTACTGCTGGACTGAGGAATCCAGACGCTCGTCAGGACTCAGCTTCTCTGCCAAATGACTGTGTGGAAACCAAAACGAGCCTGTGTCCTTCCTAGCTCCCACCCAACCCGTGCTGCTGTGCTCTGCTTCTCCCCACACTTCCCTGCCGTAGTTCCCAGCTGCTGTAACAGAGCCGCCTTCAACTCTGACAATAAATCAAGTTCATTACAGATGCTATAGTGCTGGTTAGGGTTTTTCTGACTCCGCATATTGCCTAGTTGCTGGACTCTGGCTTCTCCGCTTCTCTAAGCATGGTCGTTTTTCTCAATGTCTTTGATAACTGGAAGCAATTCCAGGACCCAGGGAAGCCAGAGAACATAGGGTGTGTTAAGGGAGAAAAGGAGACAGCATAATTCCTGAAAGTGGGTGACAGTACCTGAACATTTGGTTTGGGGAAGGAAGAGGGGTTGGCATCTCCACGAGGTCAAGAGTTGAGAACCAAATAACCAGACACATTAGATAGGGTAACACCAAAGAGGTAAGGAGTCCTAAGAGACCCAGAGCTTACTGAGGTTGTAAACACCTCTCACTTATGCAGTCAGGATTTTCATCGAGTAAAATGTTGGATTTCCCCCCTTCAGTGAAACCCTTTATATGTCCTGGGTATGTAAGAAGAGGCCAAGTTGTGAATGTGAATATATTCCAGCCCTCCTAGTGCTCTGAGCTCTCCCAATGTCAAGGGATTAAATAGAGTATAACCTCTTAATGTTAATTCCTGACACTCCAAAGCATCGGAAGAAAACTTAAGAGCGTGATTCCAAGGAGCTGGTGAAAAAGCCTTGTGTACCCTCCGGTGTTTCACAGAGACAGAACCTCTCTCCCCCACAACACTACTCACTTCAGACATTTTGGGATAGCGGGTTGATTGGCATAGGGACCTCCTGGGATGTCTGGTCTGTATATTTTTATGGCCTGTCCCTGCTCAACTAAAAAGGCCTTTGACTGGTTCGGATTCCGTTACATACCTGATTGACTTCTAGTCACATTCACTCTTGAGTTCACAATGATTTGACCAGCTCTTCCATTCTCATTACCTCATATTTATTAAGCACTCATAATGTTCTGCCCCCGCTCTAATGACAGCGTTACCCCTCGTACCCACCCTCACTCCCATCCCCAGATCTTTGGGATTAGCTTCATAATCACACCTGGCCCTAAAGACACAATGATAGAAGGACAAACCTCTTGGAAACCCCAGAGTGTTTGTTCTTTGGCCAGTCTGTCCCTGGCACTACCATATATATATATAATCTTTGCTCATATCTGTACAATATTTATCTCTGCTGATTGCTTAAAAATAGAACCTGATTTTCTCTATTACAGCATCTTCTAAGCCAAAAAGCCCCACAACAAAAGAGGCCTCGCTTCACAGATTGGTCAAGAACCCCAAAAGCATTTTAAGTAGTTACTCTGAAATTTTCACAACAATCTAATACCTATTTTTCCATAGAGCTATTGCCCTCTTCACAGGACAGGGGCAGAGAGGGCACTTGGGGATGATATGGAAATACCCATAAGCCCAATCTAAAGATTAGTGGCCATGATGGATGTTTGTTTAGGAAGGGGACTCTTTTTCCCAGACATTTCAGACAGCCATCCTGGGCCCATCTGAGGAGTGCTAGCCAGGACAAGAGTCCCCCTGAATGCACATATGGTCTAAAGGACTCTGAGACATTATGAACATTTCCTCAGAAAAGTGAAGGCCTTGGGATCCCCTTTTGCACTTGTTGTCCCGGGATGGTGTCTTCAGCAGTTAAGAGGCATTTCCTTTAACAATCTGGAATTTCCTGGGTTGCTCAGAGGAGGCTGGATAATGACAGACCAGCCCACCCCTTAAAGGAAATCCTATTCAAATCTAATGGCTTGGTGAGGAGCCAATGGCTGTTTGAACACAAAATGGGCCCCTCACCAAGCCCAGCTCCAGCACAGGCATGCCTCATGGCAAGAGGGCTGCTTCCTCAGACACCTCTGGTAAGATCCAAGGCCTTATGCTGGCAGGTGAGTGAGCCAACAGACAAAGTTGCTAGCTCACATGGCTGGTATACTACACCACCATCAATGAGAAAATGATTAATCACATGTTGCTGGTGGAAGGGATAAGTTTTGGTCATGGGCTAGAGACTGGCTCTGAGTGAGGGTTTGGATCACTAGATGGATACTGGACTTGGGGAACATCCTCTCCAGGCAGCTGCTCGATGACCTCAGGGACCACACAGGACTGCTGACTAACCTCCTCAGGGCCCTCCTGAACCTGAAGGTCACCCCCCTCTGGGAACTCCTGGGATGGTGTATCAACCTCAGGGATATCCTGAGATAAGAGATGGGTTGCAGGAGCTTTTGGGGCCAGTCTGTCAACCTCCAAAGAGAACTCCTGGCACGGCTGGCTGAGCTGCTCAGGGATTTCTTGGGCTGGCTTGCCAACTTCCACAAGGATTTCCTGGATCAGGCCACCAGCCCCTTCAGGAAACCCATGGACCAGCCTGCCAACTTCCACAGAGACCTCTTGGCATGGCAGGCTGGCCTCCTCAGGGCTCTCCTGGAAAAGCTTGCAAGCTTCCTCAGAGACTTTCTTGCACAGTTGGTTGATCTGAGTGACCTCCTGGCATGTCTGGTTAACATCATCATGGGTCTCCTTGCATGGCTGGCTGTTGTCAGGGACCTCCTGGCACGGCTGGCTAATATCAGCGGCCTGATGACATGGCTGGCTGACCTCAGCAACTTCCTGGCATGGCTGGCTGGTTTCCACAGGTGGTTCCTGTGGGACCTGGTTTGGTTCAAAAGGCTTTTGCTCCCCTTCTATGAAAAGCTCTTGTGCTCCATTCCCAGGGATCTCTTGGCGCAGCCCAAGGCCTTGACATTCTTCAGACACGTGTGAACTTAGGGAGGGTTGACCACTGAAGCCAAATGGGCAATTCCCATCCACGGCAGTAGGGGAGGAAGGACCAGCACTGGACACAGTGCTGGAAGGGCCACTGCTGTCTGTAAAGCAAAGTCAGAAGAACAAGTTAGGCAAGCTGTAAGAGAAGGCTTTACTCTATGTATGTAGTTCAAGTGCCAGATAGATGGCCTATATTACTCACGACACAGGGAAAGAAGGTCTGAATTCTTTCTAAGTTATGCAGACTCCCAAATTAGCCCAGTTCAGAAACTGTGGCTCTGAACTAACATATACTATAGGAGTAGCCCTAAGGTACATCTAAGACTTCAGGAGAAAGTGCTGAGACTCACTTCATCCAGTTCTTTCATAAATGTATCCCTATCCAAATTTCAAATTCTCTTGATCCCTCATTCATACTTTGAAAACATATGAATACTTTATTCCAGTGGCTCATAATTGGGGTTACATAGAATCTCCAGAGATTCTAATTCTGTAGGTTTAGGTTAAAGGTACGGGGTGGAGAGGGAGATGAAGGCAATATATTTTGTTATAACACTCCTAATTAAGTCTGATGTACATCTTTGGTTAAGAATCATTTCTTTAAAGCAATCAGTGTATTTCTGAGGTATAGGTAATCATTGTTTATAACCCAAGGTATAAGTAAGCAGAAGAATGTAGAAAAACCTTGTGAATCAGAATAATAGAAAAGAAAATGATTTACCCAAAGATGGAAGAACCCCATGGAATCTCTAAATGGCAGCAGTTCTTAATTAACCTTTGTGGGGAGGGGGGTGTCACTGATTCCTCTGAAACTCTAATGAAAGTCATGAATTAGCCGAAACCAGTTTGGCTCAGCGGTAGAGTGTTGGTCTGCGGACTGAAAGGTCCTGGGTTCGACTCCCGTCAGGGGCATGTACATTGGTTGTGGGCACATCCCCACTGGGGGGTGTGCAGGAGGCAGCTGGTCGATGTTTCTCTCTCATCGACATTTCTAGCTCTCTATCTCTCTCCCTTCCTCTCTGTAAAAAATCAATAAAATATATTTTAAAACAAAGAAAAAAGAAAGTCATGAATTATTTTCCCAGAAAAATACACATGTGAGTATTCATACTAATCTTTATATATGACTAGAGGCTCAGTGCACAAAATTCATGCATGGAGCCGAGAGGAGAAGGGGGTGTCCCTCAGCCCAGCCTGCAACCTCTCCAATCTGGGACCCCTCGAGGGATGTCTGACTGCCCTCTCACAATCCAGGATTGCTGACTCCCAACTGCTCACCTGCCTGCCTTTCTGATTTCCCCTAACCGCTTCTGCCTGCCAGCCTGATCACCCCCTAACCACTCCCATGCCAGCCTGATTGATGTCTAACTGCTCCCCTGCCAGCCTGTTTGCCCCTAACTGCCCTCCTCTGCCGGCCTCGTCACCCCTAACTGCCCTCCCCTGCAGGGTTTATCACCCCCAACTGCCCTCCTTTGCAGGCCTGGTGCCTCCCAACTGCTCTCCTCTGCTGGTCATCTTGTGGTGGCCATCTTGTGTTCACATGGGGGCAGCCATATTTGACCACATGGGGGCAGCCTTCTTGTGTGTTGGAGTGATAGTCACTGTATATTACTCTTTTATTAGATAGGATAGAGGCCTGGTGCATGGGCGGGGCCAGCTGGTTTGCCCTGAAGGGTGTCCTGGATCAGGGTGGGAGTTCCCTTTGGGCAGGGGGCAGCTTGAGCGAGGGGTCTGTGGTGGTTTTCAAGTTAGCCATACCCCCTGGTGACCCAAGCAGAGGCCCTGGTATCTGGAATTTATTTACCTTCTACAATTGAAACTTTGTAGCCTGGAGAGGAGCCAAGCTTCCTGCTCGCTTGTGGCTGGCAGCCACTTCTGTTTGGATTTGTTTATCTTCTATAACTGAAACTTTGTAGCCTTGAGTGGAGGCTTAGGCCAGCAAGTGCAAGTGGAAAGCCTGGTTTCCTACATTGCCTGGGAAAACCAAACCTCCCTCCTGCTCTCTGTGGCTATAGCCATCTTGATTGGGTTTATTTGCATACTCACTCTGATTGGCTGGTGGGTGTAGCAGAGTGAGGGGTAATTTGCTTATTGCTCTTTTATTATGTAGAATTCCTAGTGTTCATAAACTTTACCCTGAAATCCATCCATGGATCCAAAGTTAAGATCTTCTAGGTACTGGGACATATGTTACAGGTTTGTAATGTCATAAAAACTAATTTCCCACATCCTGACATAGACTGGATTCAATTACACTGTGGGACAATTCCTACTCCAACCTCTACTTCATTAACCTCTAGTAGGGGATTAATCTACTTTTCCCTTTGTAAATATTATATTTATTGATGGTATTATAACTTTATATTAAAGCACTCTGACATCAATAATTATAGCTTTTAGAAATAGGGGACATCTGAGTATCTTATAATCAAAGAGAATCTGGGAAACTTGTCAAGCACAAGCATACAAAAGCTCAATCAGTCATTGAGTTTAAGGTATGCCAGTAAACTCTTTTCTGTAAAGCATCACAGGAGGCATGCTTCAAGTAGAAAAAACAAAGAGGAACATGGTTTTGTGCCAATGCTTATTTAGGGCAAAGAGACAGACCCTGAAAATGCTTACAATGAGGTTATACACCTAATACTGAGATTACAAAAAAAAAAAAAAAAAGCTGTAAGCTGAATTCACTCAAGGGTAGAAGTAGCCTTATACTCAGTTAGTAGTTTGATTGAGGCAAATCAAAGAGGTCAAACAGAAATATATGCAGGAGAGGGATGTTAGGGGTGGGTGGGGCACAGAACCATAAACACTATAGGAGACAGGTAAAAGAGACAAGGTGAGTGTAGGATAATCTGAAATCCAGGGGGACAATTCTTGATGTTAGGAAGAAATTTTCTTCTGCATACTAAGAAGGGCACAATTCGACAACTATTTACCTCAATGCTGAAATATGAATCTTTGCTGAAGTCCTATCCAAGTAAAATAGTGAAAGGCATGTTAGATTTTTGTTATTCCTTGGAGGCAAGATGAATAAAGAAAGGATTTTCCATCACTGGTGACTCTGGCCCTGATTATTACGGGTTATCTCCCCCTCCCCACTGTTGCTCTAAGGATTCCTTGCTGCCCACTGTTCACGAGGATAATTAGTGATAGGCTAGAGATGATAAAGAGATGGGGAAAAGTATCACCTCAACTGAGAACAGACAACGTGAGAAAAAAGTTGAAAGTAGTAGCAGATTTTAGTTTCCTTCCCCCAGCTTTTCTATACATTCAGGTTTCCTTCTAAGTCCCCTGCGCTTTGAGGAAGCTGTAGAAACCACGTGGGGATCTGAGAAGAATGAAGTTTCCATCCCGTCTTCCCTAAAGGACCCTCGGCTCCACTATCTTTTAGGAGCCTCTCCAATGAGATAGAGGGGTGTGGGAGGCAGAGGTGATGAGACACAGTAAACGGACCCTCCCTCCATCTTGGAAGAGGCAGATGAAACTGCTTCCTTAACTGTATTCCTGGTCTTTCAACTCTCATCTTGGTTTCCCTCACGGGACAGGTTTCTCACTCACCAGTTCCTCCCTCCCTCTTGGCCTCTGTCTAGGCAGTTCCCAAAGGATTACTTACACCAAGGGGGCTTCTCAGAGCGCTGCCGGAGCTGCATGGTGGGCGAAGGAAGAGTGCGGGGTGGGGAAAACGTGCCGTCGGAGGCCTGGTTGCTGTGCATAGAATCGAAGAGGGCTGGAGAGGTGCGGGGAGGGGAAAGGGAAAATAAGCACATGAAGAAGAATCCAAGTGCCACAGGTTCTCAACGTAAGTAAAAGTCAATGTACATTTTCTCATGCTGAGAAGAACCATCCTTCACACAAACCATTTTTAATATTTTAAACTTTGTATAATGAATATTTTCAAGTATATTTTTAAAAAGTTATTGAAAGACTAGTATGACCAATACTTACACACTCATCTATATTTAACTCGTTAACACATGTCAACATTTTGCCATACTTGTTTTGTCTATTTCTTGGTGCTGAAGTTCTCAAAAGTAAATAATAGATATAATGAATACTTTAATATGCATTTCTAAATTATAAGGAGTGTCTCCTATTTAACCTAACAAAATTAAAAAATAGTACCCTAATATCATGTCATACCCAATTCATATTCAAATTTTTCCCTATTATTCTCCAAATTGCTTTTATAGTAAGGTCCAAACATGAACCGTACATGTTTGGACCTTAATATAAAAGGACCTTACTGTTCTAGGTAGTGTCCTCCTACCCATTTATTTTTTTCATAGTGACTTTTTTAAAAGAACAGTCAGTTGTCTCACAGAATGTCATTTCCCACATTCTCGATTCATCTGATTGCTTCCTCATAAAATCATTTAACTCATTTCAACATCCCTTGTATTTCCTATAAGCTAAAAGTTAGCTATAAAAGGCATCGATTATTTAGTTTAAATCACTTTGGCAATACCTATGTATATTATTTTATACTAGAGGCCTGTTGCATCAAATTCATGCAAGAGTAGGTCTTCCTGCCAAAACCGGTTTGGCACTGTGGATAGAGCATCAGCCTGTGGACTGAAGGGTCCCGGGTTCGATTCCGGTCAAGGTACATTGGTTGAGGGCGGGGGGGGGGGGGTGCAGGAGGCAGCTGGTCGATTTTTCTCTCTCATCGATGTTCCTAGCTTTCTATCCCTCTTCCTTCCTCTCTGTAAAAAAAAAAAAAAAAAAAAAAAAAAAAAAAAAAAAATCAATAAAATATATTTAATAAAAAAAAAAAGAGTAGGTCTTCCTTCCCCTGGGCTTCCCTCGCAGATGGTCTGGGCCTCCCTCTGTGGGGTGATCATGGGGGCAATTAGTTGGGGCTGGGCCCCCAACTAATAGCATCGCACCCGCCTTGGCTGGGTTGGCACCATGGGTGTCATAGCGTGGTCCTGGATGGTCATCTAGATGGTTGTTCCACTATTTGACTGATCAATCAATTTGCATAATATGATTTTATTGTACAGAAGTATATTATATAGGATTATTTTTATAGGATTATTTATATAGGATTATATTATATTATAGGCACATAATGTTTCATTGTCCTACTAAGTAAGACTAAATTTACTAATTGGGTTAAAGTGGTGCCCATAAAAATCTCACTATTTTAAAGCTTCCCCCTTCTGGGGGGAGAGGGGCAATGGTAAGATATGTACACATGTAATACCTTAATAAAAAAATGAAAAGAAAAAAAAAGTTTCCCCCTTCTGATCAGAGGTGATCCTTTGACACCATGCAAATCCACCAACATTTTAGTATCCATTGATGGATCTTAATTATTTTATTAGGGGTGTCAAGTGTTGATTTTCTAATTCTATCAATCCTTTTAACATTTATTACTTAGCATATTTTTGGTAAAGAAGAATGTTCCCTCTTCAACTGAGATTATTTCATTACACTGAACTGCAGTTGTTACTGAAAAGATAGGATGTGTTTATTTTCCTTTAGTTTTCCGAGGAAAGAACTGGTGAAAAGTATTCTCCAATAGCTGCAGAATAATTATTTTTTTATATTTTTATTGACTTCAGAGATGAAAGAAGGAAAGAGATAGAAACATCAATGAAGAGAGAATCATTTAAAAAAAATCTATTTTATTGATTTATTTTTTACAGAGAGGAAGGGAGAGGGAGATACTCAGAAACATCGATGAGAAAGAAACATCAATCAGCTGCAACCACAGTACATGCCCTTGACCGGAATCGAACCTGGGACCCTTGAATCCGCAGGCCCATGTTCTGTCCACTGAGCCAAATCGGTGAGGGCAGAGAAAGAATCATTGATTGGCCAACGCTCTATCCACTGAGCCAAACCAATCAGGGCTCACTTGGTTATTATTTGCATGAAATAAATCCTTTCACTTTCAACCTATTTGTGTCTTTGGGGTCTAAATTGAATCTCTCTCTTTCTTTTGTCTTGTTAATCCTTACCCACAGATATTTTTCCATTTATTTTTAGAGAGAGTGGAAGGGATGGGGAAAGATAGACAAATTGATTGTTTGCCTCCTGATGTACCCTGACTGGGGTTGGGGATCTGGCCCACAACTGAGTTACATTTCCTAGACCTGAATTGAACCCTTCAGCGCAGGCTGATGCTCTATCCACTGAACTAAATTGAGTCTCCTATAAAAACATATAGTTGGATAATTTTTTTAAAAATCCATCCTGCCAACTCTGTCTTTTGTTTGGAGAGTGTTATTCATTTACATTTAAAATAATTACTGATAAGGAATTTTTGCTATGCTTTTTGTATGTCATATAAATTATTTGTTCTTCATTTCCTCTATTATGGCTATGTGTTGTGTTTGATTTTTTTGTAGCGAACCATTTTTTAAAAATATATTTTTATTGATTTCAGAGAGGAAGGGAGAGAGGGAGGGAGAGATAGAAACATCCATGATGAGAGAGAATCCACACTAGGGATCAAGCCCATAACCCAGGCATGTGCCCTTGACTGGAATCGAACCCGGAACCCTTCAGTCTGCAGGCCAACCGAGCCAAATTGGCTAGGGCTGTAGCGAACCATTTTGATTCCCTTCTTATTTCCTTTTCTTGATAGGTTTTAGATATTTTCTTAGTGTTTACCATAGGGATTACATAAACATCCTAAATTTATAATAATCTTATTTGGATAGATAGCAATTTAGCTTCAATAACATACAAAAACTCTGCTCTTATAAAGCTCTGTTCCCACTTTATATTGTTATTGTCTCAAATTATATCTTTATATATTATATGTCCATTAACATAGACTTATAGTGATTTTGTGTGTTAATTCATATATGAAACGAAAGAAGGAGCTACAAATAAAAAGTACTACAACACTGACTTTTATATTTACCAATGTAATTACTTTACGAGAGTTATTCTTTGTTCTGGCTTCAAGTTACTGACTAGTGTCCTTTTATTTCAGCCGAAAAGCCTCCTTTTAGCATTTCTTGTAGTGCAGGTCTACTAGTGAGAAAGTCCCTCAGCTTTTGTTGACCTCAAAATGTTTTAATTAATTCTTCATTTTTGAAGTTTTGCCAGATGAAGAATTCTTGGGTGATAGTGTTTTTTCCTTTGGCACTTTACATCATCCCACTGCTCTCTGGCCTCCATGGTTTCTTTATTTTTCTTTTCTTTTTAAAATTTTATTGTTGAAAGTACTACATACGTCCCCTCCTGCCCCCCCCCCATTGACCCTTTCTAGTCTGCCCCTTCTCCTCCCCACTCCATGGTCTCTATAGTTTCTGAGGAGAAATGGGTTGTTAATCTTATTAAGATCACTCTTACATGACAAGTTGTTTTTCTCTTGCTACTTTCAAGATTTAAAAAAAAATTTTTTAAATAAATGTTTTTATTTATTTTTAGAGATATAAAAACATCAATGAGAGAAACATCATTGATTGGCTGCCTTCTACACACCTCAACTAGGGATTGAGCCTGCAACTCGGGCATGTGCCTTGACTGGGAATCAAACTGATGACCTCTTGATTCCAGGTTGACACTTAACCCCTGAGACACAATATTTTCTCACCCCAGCTGATTTTGCTCAGTGGATAGAACATTGGCTACTAACTGAAGGGTCCTGGGTTCAATTCTGGCCAAGGGATTGTACCTCAGTTGCAGGCTCAATCCCCAGCTCCATTCGGGGTGTGCAGGAGGCAACCAGTCGATGTGTCTCTTTCACATCCAAGTTTCTCTTTCTCTGTCTCTCCCCGTCCCTTCCACTCTTAAAAAAAAAAAAAAAAAAAAAAAAAAAAATCCATGGAAAAGTATCCTTGGGTGATGATTAACAAAAAATCAAACTAAAACAAAAGATTTTATCTGTCTTCTTTTGCCAACTTGATTTGAATGTGTCGCAGAATAGCTCTCTTTGCATTTATCTTCCAACTACTAGGTTGTATATATTTGTATCTTTATCAAATTTGAGAAGTTTTCAGCCATTATTTCTTCAATTATTTTTTCTACCTTTTTTTTCTCTTTCTTCTTCTAGAACTCCCATTATGCATATATTGGTATATTTATGGTGTCCCACAAATCTCTTTGGCTTTGTTTATTTTTCTTCATTCTTTTCAATTTCTCCTCTTCAGACTGAATATTTTTCAAATGACCTATTTTAAGTTTTCTGATTCTTCTGCCTTCTAAAATCTTCTAAGAAATCCTCTAGCAAATTTGTCATTTCTGCTATACTTTACAGCCTCAGAATTTGTTTGGTTTCTTTTGATATTTTCTATCACTTTAATGATATTCTCTATTTGATGAGATATCATTCTCCTGATTTCCTTTAGTTCTCTGTCCCTGGTTTCCTTTCCTTATTTAAAATATTTGCCTAGTAGGTCTAATGTCTGTGTTTCCTCAGACATTAATTTATTCTATGAAAAGATCACACTGTCTTGTTTCTTTGCATATTATATAATTTTTTTGGTTGAAAAAATAACATTTTTACTATTAGAATGTATTAACTCTGAAAATTAAATTACCTCTCTCCCCTCAGGGTTTCTTTTTGTTGTTTGCTGTGGTCTACTGCTGTTTGTTTAGTGATTTTTCTAAACTGTTTTTATAAAGTCTGCCTTCTTTGTCATATGCAGTCTATGAAATCTTTGTTCCTTATGGTTCATGGGGCTTTGATAAGGATTTCCTTGAATAAACCAGGAACAAAGAGAGAGGGGAGGGGGGAGGAGGGAAAGGAGTAGAAGGGAGGAAAGGAGAGAGGAGTGCTCACAGTATTTGCAGATTGGTTCTATGTTGAGGTACTCCTTCAACACTTAGCCAGACTATTTACAACACTGCCTTAGCCTACACTGCCTGCTTGTGTTGAATCTAGATTTAGGGTTTTCTCATGTATTTTATGCCCAAGCATGTGTATAGCTTTTCAAATTTACCAGTACATGTGCGTGCTTTTGATGATTGATTTCCTAAAGAAACTCTCTTCCCAGGCTTTCCGTATGCCTATTGTTTGCCTCAACTATGTTTTGTCCCAGACATCATGTTCATTTGGTTTACAGTGTTTTCAAGTAATATCCTCTGCATAGCCACATTTATACACTGAGTGAGTTACAAGTTAGGTGCAAGAAAGGTTGCCAGTCTTTCAGGGAGCCTATACACAAATTACAACAAACACAAGTTGGAGAATAAGGTCTATTCTGCTCCCTCTGAAACCAGAGACTAGGGTCCCACACTGAGAGCATGGGTTGCCGTGTTCACGACTGGTACCAAGGTGGAGACAGGAGCAGGAGGAGGTCAAGTAAAAGTACTGGAAAGCTCCCTGCCATTTTTAGGTTACCTCCTTCTTGATTCAGAAATTTCTTGCTGGTTGCAAACCTCTGACTATTTTCCAGAGTTCTGATAAAGTTGATTGTATCAATTTTTGCTTTTTTTTGTGTGTGTGTGTGTTGTTGTTTTTTGTTTTGTGTTTTTGTGTGTGTGTGTGTGTGTGTGTGTGTTTCTGTAAAAGGAGAAGCCCTTGGAGCTACCTATTGCATGGTTTAATTTTTACATTGAGATCTCTGATCTATATGGAGTTTATACTGGTTGTGAGTTTATACAGCAAGAAGTATAAATTCAATTTTAATTTTTGCCAAATGAATATTAAATTGTCCCAACTCCATTTATTAAAAAGTCTGTCTTTCCCTCAGTATTTTGAAATGCTAACTTCATCTATTATATTTCTAAATTTTCTGCTTTGTTTGATTGCTCTCTGTCTATTCATATACCAATATTATACTGTTTTTATTATATGTTTTATATAATGTTTTAAAATCAAGGTTTTCCTGGCTATTCTTGCTTGTTTATTTTCCAATGAGAACTTCAGAATTGACTTTAGAAAACCAGCAGTATTTTATTGGGTCACACTAAATTTACAAATATACTTGGGAAGGAATGATTTTTCTATTATTTTGAGTTGACCTACAATTAAACATCTTTTTTCCAAGTCTATTTTAGTATGTATTTGAAGTGCCTAACTTTTTAATTTATTACTCATGTTCTAGAAAGCATGGGAATGAAGGCAGAGTTAGGGTCACAAAACAAGAGTATTCATTCTCCATACCTGCAGATGCCTGTGCTTGGGCATCAGTGTGGCGCTGGCAGACTCCACTCAAGAATTCACTTACTTGACGCAGGGAAAGGGCATTATGCAGTGTTTCTAGGGGGTAGATGGTAGGCACCATGGAGCACCCTTCAAATCCTGTTAGAAAAGAGATGGGCAAAGTCAATAGTATTTCTGCCAGATATATCCCAACTGGCCAAGGAAGCATGGAGAGTCCCTGAGAGCCATCAGGAGAATCGATGGCTTTTGGAGTGTGGGGAATCCAAGATTCTCATGAGGGAACTCTTTAGAGCCCCAACAGAAGTCTATTTCTATCACCGTCAGATTTCCTAAAAAGTCTCCCTGCTAAGGCCTCCAGGTGAATCAAATCACCTCTCACCCTACCTATGGAGAGCCTGCAATGTCCAGTGGAAAAATAAACAGAATCCCAATAGGGTAAACTCCTACATTGCTTTTATATTTTCTGGGGGAATAAAACAAAAGTACGTAAGTAACGGGTGAAATTGTAGGTCTAAATGAGGTTAGGGAGGCATGGAGGTGAAAAGAAATAGCAGATTTCAGGGTTCATGTATAAGAGAACCAGATTAAGGTGGAGGGCATGTAATCTGAGAAGGGGTTCATGCAGATTTAGAATATGGGTAGAAAGGCGGGAATATTTGGAAGCAAGCTGGAGATCATGCAATACATATGGAGCTCAGCCCAGGAAAATCACATGCATGAATAGGCTGGGGAATGGAAGTTCTTTCTTGGTCATTTCCATTACATCAAAGGTTCTCCCTTCTGTTCTCACTGGAAGACCCTAGACTTGTTGGGATTTTTTTTTATCCTATCAGGAAAATGAGGAAACCCCCTTAGGAGAAATAATAAATATTGATTCTCTGCTCTGAACCCAATAATTCCAATGTAGGCCCACCACTCTGAGTTAGGATACAGGGCAAACCTAAATGTATAACCTAATACCAGGACCTATTGAAAAATTTTCCCATTGGAGAACCAAGAAGCACACATCCCAACCAGTTTTTCAGTCCCAAATCTTTCCCATGCCCCCTCTATGTCTCCCTAAGTGAACTAAGAATAGGGAGGACAACAATATCTATGCAAGACATAGCCTCCTGTTCACTAATGACTAAAACATCAAAAGAATTATACCTGATTATCTTCTAACCTCTGGCTCTTGTTTGCTTGTTTGCTTCAAGGATTCAACTGAGATCTCTGTGCCTCAACTTCCCCCTGTATTCTAGGGGGTAGATGGTAGGCAGACTGAGAGAGGTATAGTCTCTAGATCCTCAGAGCGAGTAGAAAAATGTTTGGATTTGAAGATGGTGGTAGTAGAAGTTATAGAGATAAGAACAGAATCCAGAGCAAGAAACTAACCCTGCACTGAATAGAATTGGGAACGGGTAGCATTAGGAGGCAGTGAGGAAGGAATGAGCAGCCAATGCTATCACTACCAGGCAGTCCGGCCCCAATCCCATCCAAGCAACTAAAATGCAAGTCACATAACCTTAGGGTAAATAAAAGAAAGGAATAAGTGGGCTCTCCTGCCAGAAGTGCAATAAGCAAAGCAGTCAGTCTCAGCCAGGGTAGTGGCAGCAGCCAGCTTGGTGGCAGGGGGTACCGTAGAGGCACTCGGGGTCATCCTGGCCTGAGCGCAGCCAGTTCCGGAAGAGGCGCAGGTGGTAGGAGCACTGGTGCAGGTGATGCGCCAGCGTGGCATCCAAGGAGACTGGCTGGCCCCCTGGGCATTCAGAGGAAATACGGCGCAGCAACCGGACCACAGGGTGCTGGTCATCCAGCAGCTCTGCAGGGGGTAGGGGCACCACGGCAGGAAGCACAAAGATAAAGAAAGAGAAGAGGGAGAGACAATGAGGGGGGCACTGACTGGCACAAGCATTACTGGGAAGTGGAGCCACTCAGCTCAAAAGTGAGCTGAGAAAGAAGCAGAGATGGTCAGAGCCACTGGGCATCTCTTGCAGGAAAGAAGAGGGTTGGCATCGCACAGTAAGTCTAAAAGAAGGGGCTAGTGAGACCTCATCAGACAGTAAGGCCCTCCCCTTTCTCACTGAGCATAATTCAGTGGCAGACAGAAATCACATCATTCTGGATCGGGGTAAGCTGGCTTTGGAGTTCGGCGGGAGCCCTGTCTAGAGGTCCAGTATCCCAGATCATTCTTCGACAAACTCCACATAGGTCCCACTTCTCAGTCTAATGTGTTTATGAGATTGGGATAGAGATGAAAAGACTCAAAGTCGGTCAGAGAAGAAGGTCAAGAATGGTATAGGGTTATCAAGATAAAGTTCGAAGCCAAAAAGGCTCCCCAAGGCCTCAGGGCAGGCTCTCTGGATCAGACTCTAAGACAGCCACAGCTATGGCTGTTTTTAGACAGCTGGCATAGGAGACTGGCAGGAAAGCCTATGTAAAAGAGAGCATTTAAAAAGTGGAATCAATATGTGAAAATGCTGTTACTGGCTAAATCACCCTTTACTCTTGTTCAAATATATAGACTCAAAAATGTTTGCATGAATCTCAGGACTTTGGAGATACTGTATGCATTACAGAAGCCAAAAGTTAGATAATTTTGTATTTTCTTCCTACTCCTGGTGAGTCTAATTGCATTTTGTTCAGCTGGTCAGTGGAAAAGCTTCAGTCCTGAACCAGTTATTATTTTATATGTTTGGCAAACTTTGTGGACATATGTGATTCAGCTGCAAAGATTGAAGATAGTGAAAGGCATGTAGAAGCCCCAGGAACAGTAGGGAAAAGATCCTGGGGAAAAGATACAGGGTCTTAAGACCTGATGACAGGATGTTGGTACAGTAAAGGTAGGATCAAAGTAGCTGAGGATGACCGCTCAGAACTCCCAGGCCAGAACTTGTGACATGGAGTGAGCCCATGAAACTATGGTTTCCAGAGACCTTAGTTTGAATGTTAGGAGAGTTTTCAGCTCTATTCAAGCACTAACTGTCCCTAGAAAATAAATGGGTGTGGCAAATACAATTGGCACACTCTGACATTCTTTTCCAACACTAGTTTACTTTGGTGAGTTCAGTGTGCAGTAGAGTAATGGGCCATATTTGTATACTTGACATAGTCAGGATGTGACCAAAGCTTATCAGGAATAGAGGCAATGAGGGCTGAGAGGTGTTCTCCCATCAAAGCAAGGAGACAGCATTCCCTTGCCCCTCTTCTAAAGCCAGGCCCAGTTTTTCTAGCTGTTATTTCAAAGCCAGACTTGTTGCCATGATGGGACAATAGACTAATGCAAGTCCATAATGTTGTGACGAATCTGCCATAAGCAACTGCAGGCAGCACATGCACTCTGTAATTGTTCAGTCAGTCAAGCAAGATTTGGCCAGGGGGTAGAGCTCTCATATTGTCCAGAGGGCCAAATTAAATCTAGATAATTTTCAGCAAGAGATATAATAGGTCTAAATTTCTCCTATTGCCAAGAGTTAGATCCCAGATTCTGGTTCTCAAGCACTGTAGCTCCCAAGCTCAAGTATAAGAAGAACAAAGGCCAGAAGGCCCCTGAGAAACTGTGCAGGGTGTTGGAAGCGATCTTGAATTTGTCCTCCTACACTATACCTGAATTTTCCAGGACTTTCTTTCTCTCCTCCTTTCAGAAGAATTAATTTTTCTTTTTTTCAACTGATGAGGCTGCTTATCAAGGCTTCAGGGAATCAGAGGTATATAGGTTTGAGGATCTACTTTATGAATTTGAATCTTTTCTGCTAGAGCCTAAGAATTAGGAGATTTGTAATTTAACTCTGATTTCAGGGGCCCAAGTTCCTGGTACTGTATTCTGTACCCTAAGAAACATGTTTCCATGTCCAAGTCCCAGGCTGTGAGGTTGGGGTTAGTACAGAGGTTCTACTCTGGAGAAGATTGTGGCACATGAAGGCCAGAAGAGTGTGAAGCTAAATGTTAAGGTACAGCCATGCCACTCTTACTAGAGAGCTCCTGTCACAGGCACAAGTGGGAGCTTGGGTGGGGTATAACAAGTATTAGCTGGTCAAGCTGGGGAGATTTCAGCAGTGCCGAGTGGAGATGCATGGCCTAAAGAGGCTAAAATCTAGCAGCTGCCACTGGCTGAGGAACAGAGAGGATCTGTACCTGGAGGGTTTTCCAGCCAGAAAGCCAGGCTAAGTTTACCTCCCTCAGAAAATCTCAGCGCTTGGACAGAAGAAAACTATATATAACAAAACTAGATTTATCTTGAAGACAAGAGACACTGCACAAAAAAACTAAAGATATAAAGGATAGATTCCAGATTTAGCTTTCTGAGGTAACACATGGCTTAGTGTGGTCTTTGTTAACTTTCCACTATGGTGTACCGTGGTCAGGACCAAAAGCTGCAGGTGATGGTGCAGCCCATCAATCTCATCTTCAGATCCTTGCAAAACAGATCTCGGATTCAGGTATGGCTTTTTGAGCAAGTGTTTATGCAGATAAAGGACTACATCATTGGTTTTGGAGAATATATGAACCTCGTATTAGATGATGTAGAAGAGATTCATTCTAAAAAAAAAAAAGTCAAGAAAACAACTAGGTCGGATCATGCTAAAAGAAGATATTACTCTGCTTTAAAGTATCTCCAACTAAAAATGACTAACAAAGTGAGAAATTGTTGAGAAGCAATTTGTGTTTTGTAGATATCCTTTGTTGGGAGTATAGTTAAACATTGATTAATATTGCTTTCATTACCCTTATATTATTGCCAGATGACAATGCTGTAGAATTGTTTTTATTAAAAAATTTATATTGCTCAGTTGGTCAGAGCATCATCTGATACACCAAAAAATGGTGGGTTCAATTCTTGATCAAGGCGCATACCCAGGTTGTGAGTTTGATCCTAGTCAGGGCACATGTGGGAGGCAAACAATTGATGTTTCTCTCTCACATTGATCTTTCTCTCTTTCTCTCTTTCTCCTTCTCTCTCCTTCCCTCTCTCTAAAATAAATTTAAAAAGATATAAAAGATAAAACAGGGATTAAGTCCTGGGGTTCTCCTGCCGTAGCCTACAAAGAGAGCACAGCCTTTCAGTTTTTGGTCTTCCATCTTAGTGTGGATAGACCCAGTTCTTCAATATTCTTGAAATATTATTAGATTATTCACTCCTAAGTTCCCCTAGAATCCCAGTAGACATCTCAACCCATCACTTCAAGCTTGAGACAGCAGTGCCATAGGTAGATTAGGGCTATATGGAGATCACATGTAAAAACTCGAGGTATAATTCTTTTTCCTTTACCTACTATCTACTACTCCTTTCTTTTCCTCTTTTTCCCCCCGAGATTAACCTGGGCTCCTGTTTTCTAAGCCCAGGCCCTAGGTTAGTAGTAACATAAAGCAGATGTCAGGAGCACAAGAACCACACGTACACAGGAATATGGAGATGGGAAACTATATACTCAAGACCAATGTCCTTATAGGTAGGTTTGGGAGCTGGGAACTGCAGCATTGCTCCTGAGGGAAACAAACTAGGGATCCACTCTAACAAAAGAGTTGGAGAAAAAAAAATAAGATAAAAATTACATAAACTGAGTTCTGGGTTTGGGGCTGGAGAAAAGAAATAAGGATAATATAGGAAATACTATTTTCTTCTTAAGATGGGGAATCATTGTCCTGTTTGTACAAAGCCCAGCAGTCATGTGATGGGAAAGAGAGAGACTGAATGTTTTGGTGACGGTGCTGAAAAAAGTGACACAGTGGTGATGATGGTGACCATGGAAGTAATACCCTAAGTTGCTACAGGGATAGGGTAGCCAGGCTGCAGCCAAGCCTAAGGTTTGTCACACAAGGGATATGTCCCAAGAGGGACACTTAGTGAGTGTTTCATTCAGAGACAGCAGGGTGTTGATACAGTGGTAGGAGAGGAACAATCCGTGTCAGAGCTCAGAGGTTAAGTGTCTGGAGGTGACATGGCAATGATGAATGACACTGAATCAGAAGCAAACGTACCGTTAGTCGGATGCTTTGCAAACGACACAGAAAATCTTTTTACGGCCGGGACAAACAAGAACTCTGGGGAGAAAAGACATCATGGGGATTATACCCACACCTGTCCCCCACCCTCTGCTCTGGAATTTGCCAGTAATATACTCTATTCTATGCAGTTAGTATATGACCTGCTCCCACCCTCACCCTTAGATTCCTGACTACCACATTTCAATTTTTCCCCCTTTGCTATCTCTCCTTAGGGATCCATGTGTCATCTCTACCACAATACAGCCCTACAAACAACTCTAATCTCACCACTACATCCTCTTTTTCATCATTTAGAAAGAAAATATTTGTAGAGACTTTCATTCCTTCCCCCAATCTCTTTTCATATCATCTTTCCAGCCTTTGCTAAACAACTTCCCCATCCCTGATTTCCAGTATTTTAATCAAGGCTCCACTACATTCTTCCTGATCATCCTCCTTTGTTCTTACCCCTAAATACCAGAATCCAGGAAAGAATACAGAGGCAGAGTAAACTGATGTAGCAGGGCTGTATGTGGGAGATTATGAAGGGATAAGCATAAATAAGTAATATTTGTATGGTGAGAGAGAGTGCAAATGGAGGTGCATGAGGCCTTGGTTCCTTCTCTCCTCTATAACTGATTAATAAACTTGGTATAAGGCCAGCATTAATGCCATATTAAGCATGAATAGTACTTGAACCATGTCCTTGCTGGAGGACAAATGAAGAAAAGAGTTGCTCCCCCAAACCCACCCACATACCATCTCGATGCTTCAGACTGGCAGGCGGTAGCTTTTTGCCATGGCTGCGGGCGTAGTCCTGAAGATTCGGGGCGCTGGAGGAGCCACCCAGCACTGTGGTGCTGAATAGCCCTGTGCACTGTGAGCCTGCAAGGCCGGGAGTGCATTAGTAGCCACGCAAAGCTGCCATTGCCACACAGAAGTACACACAATGTCACATGACAACATCAAGACACACACACACAGCCATTCAGAACCACGATCTTGTGGCTACTACACACAGCCACAAACAGCTTTCACTGCTTTCTTAGCTATATTCAGCAAGCAAAGTAGGGATTGTCCTGAAGATCTACATGGCTGATACAAGGGACCACTACAATGCAGGGTTAGTGATATTAGGGGACTTAAAGCTACTGAAAGAGGTAGACTATGCTTTCCATATGGCTCTTGGGAATGCTAAAAGAATAGTCAATCACTCTATATATCCCTAGATTTGATTCCATGTTCCTTACTCTAGATATAAGATTCAAAGAACCCAGATATTTAATCCCTTATAAGCTTAAAAGTAAAGAACTTTGATTGATACTAGAGACTACTGTTGAGCACTCAGCTCAAATCCCAAATTCTCATAAGTTCCAATTTTTCCCAAGTTTTTCATCTAACATTCTTTCCCTTCTATCTCTGCTTAGGCCTTTTTACCTTTTCCAAGAAAGAATGAGATCCATTGGATTTTTAAAGCTGAAAGGGACTCCAAAAATTACCCAGTTTAGCCTTCTCGTTCTACAGATGAAGACACTGAGATTCAAAAGGGACCTCACTTGCTCAAGATCATATAGTTTGTTAGGAGCTGAACTGGACTAGAATCCAGAACTCATGACTCTGAGGATCAACTGTGTTCAATTAAGGGGGGAAAAGTTGTTTTCATCAAGAAGAAACAGGTTGTTTCTGAAGTGAAGATGGACACAAATTGAAAGGCATGTGAAATGTCAGGTGATTTTATGTATGGTATGCCTCCTATGTGCTGAGCACCCTACAAAGGAGGACCTAGTGAGCAGGAAACCACAAAAAAAGATGATTTTCCTTGCTCTCAGAAGTTTGTCTTTTAAGCCCTATGCTCAAAATCAGATGTCCAAAGAAATCTAAGAGAACTCTATTGCCAATCAGAGAAGTAAATAACTTGAAAAATCTCTGAAACAAATAAATCAAGTCACTCATTGTCCCAAATATCTGATCAAGAATGGTATCGGGACTCATAGTCCCTTCTCCTACTATATATAGCCCATGAGGACAGAGTGGGAAGGAAGAGACAAGACTAACACCCAAGTTTGTGGCATTTGCCCCTCTACTTCCAAATCCATCTTGGACAAGACCCTGGGTTTGGCTTGAGAATTTAATATTCATAGGAAGATGAGTAAAGTAGGGAGGAGGTCAGTTTCTTTCGATCCCACAAAGCAAGGGTCATAGTTTCAGGGGTCCCAGAAGTTTGGTGTCACCACAGAAATTAAGAAAGCTCAGATGGCTGGTAATCTCCACCCTTGAATTCAGGATTGCTCTTCTATGCAGCAACTTCTTCTACCTTCGTTCTCAAACAGGCGCTAGAATGAGGTTTCAGAAAGTAATAAGGGTTGCTAAATTGTCGGTTTTTCTCCAGAGAAGCTGAAACTAGCTGGCTTTGCCCCCAACCACCAGAAGCTTTTTTATTTACTCTACTAAATAATTTTCTGGTGGAGTCCTGCCATCATGTCCTGCTCAGTCCTTGGATCATCTCAGAGGGTAGTCTCCACCTCACCAACACCATCTGTCCATTACCATATCGATACCTCTGCCTTGTTCATGGCAGCACCCCCACTTAACTGCGCCAGACACGCCTATCCTCTTTTCAAGCCTACCTGAAGCCTATTCTTTACTGGGACTTCTGGGATGAGAAGTCTGTATCACAGATCTATACATCTGTCATTTATTTTTCATGACCCATACCTTCTATCTCACTTCAGGGATCTAAAAGGCAACCTACTCCCATAAAATTAGCCTGGAGCTGGGACCGGTTTGGCTCAATGGATAGAGTGTCGGCTTGGGGAATGAAGGGTCCCGGGTTTGATTCCGGTCAAGGGCATGTACCTTGGTTGCGGGCATATCCCCAGTAGGGGGTGTGCAAGAGGCAGCTGATCGATGACTCTCTCATGGATGTTTCTAACTCTCTATCTCTCTCCCTTCCTCTCTGTATAAAATCAATAAAATATATTTTTTTAAAAATTAGCCTGGAAAGTAACCAAAATCTTTCTCTGCTTGTCCAAATGCTGACCGTTTTGGGGCCAAGAAATTGGCTGCCAAAAAGAAAGGTAACAGAAAAACCAAAGGAGCTAAATGGGGAGAATACAGGATAAGAAAAAAGAGCCAGGGGACCACACAATTATGGCTAACTGCTGTTTTAGTTACTGGTTCACAGACACTGTGTTCAAAGATAGCCCCTCCCAAGGACCACTCCCCACTCCCAAAGAATACAATACCCTCTGAGGCTTGGTCCTTCCTGCAGTCTGTGTTCTGAGGAAAGGTTGAATGATGTCCTCCACCCCTCTCCAGGAATAAAAAAAAAAATCAAGAGACATTCCCTCAAAGTCCTGAGAGAAGCCTCTGCCACTATACCAGTCTCAGATTTGTCCCTCAATTTTCAGGAAGGAAGGAAAAAAACATTACAGGATTAGGAGAAATGATGGAGAGGGCATGGAGGTAGGAAGACCAGAGCAAGGATATAATAAACATAGAACGCAGAGAAATACATGGCACAAATTCTCCACATGAGGAATATGACCCTTAGAGGGTTCATGAGTACCTCCATTCATAGCTCTGTCTCTGATAACTCTGAAAATTCAGAGTCTCCATGGCCCCCGAAGGTCTGGGCTAGACTGGAGGGACAGATAAGAAATGAGAGGAGAAGCCAGAAAATGCCCTTCAGCCAGAGAAAGGGAGATTGGTATAGAAAACCAGAAGACAAACACCTTCCTGGAATGGAAATAGTCATCTGGGACAAAGCTCACACCTAAATATGGCTTCTCCAAATGCAGCCTCCCAGGCCCCACCAGACAATTCTGCTGACTGGGTGACCCCTATTCCCACAATAAAACTATGAAGAACAGACAGACACCCTTTCCCAACAACAGGTGAGAGAAGATGGAAAACCATACCTAGGCCACTCTGCTTCATCTCCGTAGGTGGCCGTGAAGACAGAAAGAGCCGGTAGCCACCAGGCCTGGAAGATGAAGTCTCGGAAAGCACCTGGAGAAAAAGGACTCTGTGTTACCATTTGCCACTTCAACTCATCAGATCCTGAATTCCTGCCCCTACAAAGCAAAGCAATGTCAGAAAGTTTGGAAGAACCAAAGGATTTTTTAAGGAGGAGCTAGAAGAAAAGGAAACAGTGTAGTTTGCAGAGAAAAAGGAAACTGTCCAGAGAATCTTTCTATTTCCAAGATGCCTGTGCCCCTAGCCCTCCCACCCCAAATCTGAGAAATCATTATTCAACCATTCTCAGTTCTCAGCAGAGCAGGGTTCCTTAATATCAACTGTCTCTCTGGAGGACTCATCAAGCCAATGACAACAGCTCAGCTGCAATAAGAAATAAAGCCTGGCCCTCTCTTCTTCCCACAAAACAGCTGTGGCTATGGGAACTACTCAGTCTCTTATCTGAACCAAGAAGCCCGCCCCTCCACTTTTAGAGACATGAAACTGATTTCTAAAAATCCCACAAGGGTCCAATCATACAACCCCCCACATACATATACCCACCCCAACCCCAACAGTGTTCTGAATCCCTAAATCCCAAAAGGCAGAGGCAGAGGCAGAACAGGAAGATGAAGCAGGGAGGAACACCTGTGTGCAGGACGCCAGGTGAGTGGTGGACACAGCCCGGGGCTGTAGGCTGATGGCTGGGGAAGGCCGGGGGAGGTCTCCTGACCTCCGGCGGCGCCGTCCCCGCAAGGGGATCAGGTCCAGGTTCCCTGTGCACTGCATGTTCATGACCTGAAATCAGACCGGGTGGAAAGCCGGTCAAGACTCCTTTAACCCCCAGGCTCCCGAAGGCCCCAGTGCCTATTGGGCTGACCTAATTATAGAGCTGGAGAAAATGAAGGTCACAGATTTTGTATTCTAAAATAGTCCAACACAAGAGGAAAAGAAGGGATGGGGGTGTTTGTAATTATAGGGATAATATAGAACAAGGAGAGGATATATTAATATTAAAAGGCTGTGTGACCAGGGAGAAGACAGAAGATTTTCTTGCAAATCGAAGAAGCACATCTTGGGCAACCATTATCCTGGATAAGCTACACTGATAATTGAAAGAAAGAAATTTGATCACTACAAGAAGCTTCCTATAGGCCTGGAGGAAATGTCAATCGCATCAAATCTGAGATGTGATACACAGAGGGCTCTGCTTTTCCTATGTCGCTTAACTGCTTAAACCAGAAGGAGAGGGGGGTAAAGTACAACAGTGCCAGAGACACTGCAGACTATGTGAATGGGAAGACTTTTAGAGGTGGAGGAGCAGTTTATAGATGAAAGATTATGTCATTCTATCCATTGGATCTATTCACATGAACCTGAAGGGTACTAGTTACTGTGGACACTAAGTTAACTTTCACCTCTGAGAGAAAATGCATACCCCACCCAAAGAAACTGAGTATTCAAAACTTCAAATCCACTTTAAAATCTTCAGGAAGAAAAGGATGAGTTCAAAACACAGACTGGTTTGTCTTCTCAGGTTTCTCCAAAATCTCAACTCTAAGTCTCTTGCTGATCCTACGTAAGCTAGTTATAGATTCTTCTGAGATATCCCTAAAATGGAAAGACCAATTCCTTTAAGACAGAGCTGACACACAGATAGGTGAACAGATTCACCTATCAAAACAGGTCTCAAATCAGACAGAGTCTCTGAGACCCGGATAAATTATGGAGTAAAAAAGAGTGTAACAAAGCCAAAAAGGAAAAGAATCTTTCCATGAGAAACAGACCAAAATCCCAGAAAGGTTATACAAGCTAGATACTTGTGAGATTCACAACAGTTCCTTCCTCTGGCTACAGAACTAGAACTGGGACTAGAGACAAACTCCAAGAACAGCAGAACACAGGCCCATGGCCATAAGCCTTCTCATTAGAACAAGGGGAACACAGACTTTCAGACTTGGCTCCCTTTCTAGTATGAGAGTATAGATAATCCTAGAGGGATTAATTTTAAATATATATATGTTTTTACTGATTTCAGAGAAAGGAAGGGAGAGGGAGAGATAGATAGAAGAAACATCAGTGGCTGTTCCTGCATGCCCCCTATTAGAACCCTGCAATTGGGCATGTGTTCTAATCAGGAACTAAACAGTGACTTCCTGGTTCCTAGGCTGATGCTCAATGTACTGAGCCACATCGGCTGGACTAAAAGGGTTAATTTAAAGTACCACGTATTTGCTCCTGTTGAGCTATAATTTTTACCCAAGGCAAAAAAAGAGATGGAGAGGGCCTAGCCTTTAATATCAATTGCATTGTTATCATAATAAGTACTGTTTACTGAGCATTTATATGGTGGATATTACTTATACTTTATAGACGAAAAAAAGTTGAGGCTTGGAGAAGTTAATTGTCGATGGTCACACAGCTTCTAAGTATTGGACTGCAATTTTAGACCAGAGTTCATACTGTTTCTACTGGACTTCCTTTTTAACTTCATCCAGAGGCCTCCTCCTCCTCATGCTCATCTCTTAAAACCCTTCTCTCTCAGGCACCTCTCACTGGCATCTCTTGAACCGCGGGAGTAGCAACCAGTTTAAAGCATTCCTGGGAGACTGGCTTTGAAAAAGAGATTAAGTAAAACATATCCATCAGGGGTAGGAGGACTCTGCTTAAGGTCCCAAGAATCATCCCTCAAGGGGATTCAGAGGATTCATGGATATTGCCCTATGAGCACTTCACCACTTCTTCCTCCCTAGCCCCTCCCATTACCTCCATGGAGCCAGCTTTTCGGTTACGAATGAGGGGTGATCTCCTTGGGAGGCCAGGACCCTCAGAGGGCTGGGGTGAAGTCTGCAGTGCACGGTCTGGCTCATCTGATGCCTTCTGTGGGCACAGGTTCTCCATGCTGCCCTGGTCGGTTTTTATCTCCTCATTCTATGCAACAACAGGCACAGGAGACATATTAATGGCTCCAGGCTCCTGATCTCAGACTTCCCAAACCTTTTACCTCACTGTACTGTTTCCAAGTTTCCCAACCACTTGGTTCCTAAATCCTCCAGTCCCAAACCCCAGCTCTCTGACCCACCTCAGAGGAGGCTGGACGGAATCCATAGCCAGTGGGTGCACTGCCTTCTTCCTCGACACCTTTCACTCCGGGGCTGAAGTGCAGCTCCACATGGAATCGCTCCTCTGATAAGGGATCCTGTGGGGCATCACCAAATGAAGGGGCAGTTGGAAGAGCTGGATATGGTGGTGGAAGACCAAGGCAGGGGCAATAGAGAGGAACCCGGGAGAATATATCCACCCGGGGTTGAGGTTTCGGTGTCTTACTTCCCTCTGGAGCTGGTTTATTAGCGCTTTCCTTTAACTATAGTCCAGACTTACCTACAGGATCCTCACTCCCTCACTTCTACTGTTTGAGATTAACCGCTTGGCATGACTTTACAACTTCCACTTCTACTACTCTCCCAATCCATCTTCCACTCCAATTCAGCTTTGCTGCAGTGCATATAGCAGGACATTTTAAGACATCTTTGTGCAGCAAGATGAAGAAGGTATATATTTAAAGATTTTTGAGAGGGAAAAAAATCATTATAACATGTCCCAAATTCCACAGTCTCCCTAATACCAGAGCTATGTTCTGTGGTATATCTCTGCCTCAGTAACATCCCAAAACACCTTTTGTTTTCCAGTAGGAATCTCTAGGTGTTCTGTGTCATGTTGTGCCACACCTGGATGGATTCGACAAATTCCAAGGCTAAAAAAGTTTTTTCCAAAGAGAAGATGGAGGAGAAAGAAGGGCCCTCTCCTCATCCCATACCGTTAGCTCCTCACCTGTGTGTTGTCCTCATATAGCATGATGACGATCTGGGTCATGTAGTTGAGCTCCGAGATGGCACTAAGGTAAGCCAAAGCTCGCTGCCATTGTGCATCCTTCGTTTCCTGCCGAACACAAGAAGAAATAAGGCGATGCTTGTCAAGGGAGTCTGGGGAGGGCAGGGGGACAAGGAGAACAGAGAAAGCTTTCAGGAAAAAAACACACAAACAAACATGAGAAGGAAAGTAGAAAAATGCTGAAAAAAAGATGTTCATAGGCAGAAGGAAGAAGAAAGATCCTTACATCCAGAAGTCCCCCGTAACGGAAGACATTGAGCAGGGAGTGGACATGGCTTTCACTGGTGAAATAGAGACGTGTTCGGACGTGGCGGCCTGGGGAGAGCACTCCTCGGGAATACCTGAGGTAATAGCTAAGTCACTCACACGATCAAAATATCCGGAATCTTCCCACCCCTCCACAAACTTCCTCCTCCCCCTCAAAGACTTCTCTCCTTTCCATCCCAGTATCCCTTCCTTCTATTCCTGGTTCCCCAAGCTGTCCCAGTCTGGATCCCCCTAATGGCTCCCCTGACATGCCCCTCCCTCCATCCAGATCCCCTCCCAGCCCTCCCTCACAGGGGATGCAGCTTGTTGACAGACTCATCCTCGTGGGTTCTCTGCAGGTCAAGTAGTATCTTCCGCAACAGTGGAAGACAGAAGCCCACGGCAATTTCCAGTTTCTCCTCCCGACTGATCCCGTACTCCTAGGGGCCATAGGCCAGGAATAAGTACCTCAATGAATCCTGTCTTCCTCTTGCCTCATATTCTCAGACTCAAGATCAAGCTTGTCTTCACCTCAGGTCTAGGGCTTCTTTCATATCCACCATATTCCCCCTCTCCAGGTTTCTCCTCAGTTAGTCTGTTATACTTACTCAGAGCCAGAGTAGACCCTGAGAATTATAGCAACTCAATCTGCCAATTGCCCAGATTCCTGTGAGCTTAATTCCTTCTCTAAGTTTCCTTCCTCTGGTTCCGATACCACCCCTCCTTTCTACCTTTTCTCTCCTTTCCTACCCAATGCCCCTATCCCAGGTTAGACCCCTTCTACTTGACACACCTGGGGAATGACCACATCAGCCAATGCCTTAGAGAGACGTAGCAACTCTGCTGTGCCTTGAAGTCCCAGGCTCGCATTGTGCTGCACATCATACTTGACACAGTCATAGATGTCAGGGATCTTACTGATATCATAGCGTCCACTCTTCTGTCGAAAGTCACGCTCCAGCTTGCTCCAACGCTGTAGCATTAGCTCTAGTGTCTCACTATGGTAGAGTTGCAAATCTGGAAGGAAGACAGACAGTCAGAGAAGCCAAGACTTACCTCTAACAAAAGATCCTAACAAATCTGAAGCAGAATTAGAGGGATGAGGATGTCTTGTCATTGAAGAGAGAGGACACAGGAGTATCTGAGAAACACAGTCATACCTAAAACCTTGAGGAGAAGATAGTATTCATACCCACCTACAGATCTGGGATCCTGCATCCGTTCCTGGATCTGGTGAGTAAGGTTTTCAATCAGGGCAAATACCTGATCACAGACCTTTACAGGATTCTGAATGACAGCCATGGAGTTGTGTAGGGAAGCGCTTCCAGTGGGAGCCAGCTGTGGGGAACAGAGAGATGAAAAGCATGTTAGGCTAAGTGCCAATTGTCCAGATTCCTGTGAGCTTATGACAGAGATTGCCTGTAAATAATATCTTTTTGTTGAATCACTCCAATGAGCACTCTTAAGCTACTGGGCATGCCAGGCATTCTAGGGCCTTCATATGAGGAAACTGCTCTTTCATATAGTCATTTATGAAGGGTTGATCTTAAAAGTCTTAAAGTCCAGAGTAAATAAAAGACCTAGGTTATTTTCTCGGGGGTTCTGAAAAAACATGGAAAATGCTGGGGAATAAAGATAAAACCCAAATCCTCAAAATCTTCATAGAATGTGCCCTGACTGGTTTGGCTCAGCAGATAGAGCATCAGCCTGCGGACTGAGGGGTCCCAAGTTTGGTTCCGGTCAAGGGCATGTATCTTGGTTGTAAGCACATTCCCATGGGAGATGTGCAGAAGGCAGCTGATTGATGTTTCTATCTCATCAATGTTTCTCTCTATCCCTCTCCCTTTCTCTCTGTAAAAAAATCTTCACAGAATATTTTCATGAGTGGATAATAAAGATAATATCTCACTAGAGGCCCAATGCATGGGTTGGGTCCTTGGGCCTGGCTGGAGATCAAGGTTGATCAGTGGGGTGACCAGGCGGGCCCCCTGCCGGCATCCACCTTGGCCACCTGGTGCCACCCGCTTGCTGTCCCTGTCCCCCGCTGCTGCCAGGAGGTGACTAGCAGGGCGACTGGGGGCTCCCCTGCTGGCACCCTGGGGCCTGAGGACTGGGGGAAGCTCCTACATTGAGTGTCAGCCCCCTGATTATCAGTGCTCATCATAGAGACTGGTCATTCTGCGGTTCGGTCAATTTGCAAATTAGGCTTTTATTATATAGGATTCCTCTAAACAAGCTTGAACCTAGAGTAGAGGTGCTGCCTCTAATAGGTTCCAACTCAAGCTTTTAGGACAGTAACAGTCAATGAGGAATAGGGAGAGGGTAAGCAGACGTGGGCAGACTGTACACATTCTACGTAGGTCCTTATAAGTTCCACTCTTGCTAACAAAAAGAAGAATGGGAGATAGGAAAGGTGGTTTTATTTTTTTGGATTTGACACTGAGCATTGTGCTGCAAATCATACTTGACACAGAAAATAAAGGAGAAAGGTCTTGCTCTTATTAAGTCCTGCTCAGAGAAAAACACAGAAAAAGCAATGTGCTCAGCTACTTAGCTCACTTAAGAATCTATAAGAAATGGTTACACAACAGTGTAAATGTACTTAATGCCACTGAATTGTACATTTAAAAAACGGTTAAAGTGGCACTATAATTTAAAGAAATAAAATTTTTAAAAAGAATCTATCAGAAATGAGAAATTTTTAGTGGTAGGATGGTGGAAAATCATTGTCTGTCATATGTTCCTCAGTCAAACGTGGCCTGGATACACATGAAGAAGGATGACATTGTGTCATGACATCCACTGTGATTAATAGTGTGAAGCAGTTTACTGAAGTGGCTAATATCTTGCCGAAACCAGTTTGGCTCAGTGGATAAGAGCGTCAACCTGTGAACTTAAGGGTCCCGGGTTCGATTCCAGTCAAGGGCATGTACCTGGGTTGCGGGCACATCCCCTGGGGGGTGTGCAAGAGGCAGCTGATTGATGATTCTCTCTCATCGATGTTTCTAACTCTCTAGCCTTCTCTCTTTCTCTCTGTAAAAAATCAAAAAAGTATATTTAAAAAAAAAAAAGAAGAAGAAAAGAAGAAGAAGAAGAAGTGGCTAATATCCTGAGCTCTTGAGTTAGACTCCCTGTGTTCATACTAATTGGGTGACCTTGAAAGGTTGCTTAGATTCTTCTGCGTCTAGATTTTCTCATCTGTAAAATGAGGAAAAAGTAGTATAGGTCCACAGTTCTTATGGTTGATTAAAGATGACCATTAATTCTTTGTCAATTTCCCCTTCCCTTGGATTTAGGCTGACCCTGTGACTCTTTGATCAATAAAATATATCAAAGTTATATTGGGCTAATTCTGGACATACAATTTAAAAAAGCTTGGAAACTTCTGCTTTGGGGGAGTCCTAGACTACCATTTAAGAAGTCTGGCCCAGCCAGTGTGGCTCAGTGGTTGAGCACTGACCTATGAACCAGTTCAATTCCCATTCAGGACACATGCCTAGGTTGTGGGCTCAATCCCCAGTAGGGGGGTTGTGCAGGAGGCAGCCAATCAATGATTCTTTTGTCATTGATGTTTCTATCTCTCTCTCTCTCCCTCTCCCTTCCTCTCAGAAATCTTTTATATATCTAATAAAAGAATAATATGCAGATTGACCTTCACTCCAACACACAATATGGCTGCCCCCATGTGGACACAAAATGGCCACCACAAGATGGCCAGCAGGGGAGGGTAGTTGTGGGTGATCAGGCAAGCAGGGGAAGGCAGTTGGGAGGCACCAGGCCTGCAAGGTAGGGCAGTTGAGAGGAACCAGGCCTGCAAGGGTGGGCAGTTGGGGGCAATCAACCCTGCAGGGGAGTGACCAGGCCGGTAGAGGAGGGAAGTTGGGGGCAAACAGTCTGGCATGGGAGCAGTTAGACATCAATCAAGCTGGCATGGGAGGTGATCAGGCTGGCAGGCAGAAGTGGTTAGGGGCAATCAGAAAGGCAGGCAGGTGAGCAATTGGAAGCCAGCAATCCTAGATTGTGAGAGGGCAGTCAGACATCCCTTGAGGAGTCCCATATTGGAGAGGGTGCAGGCTGGGTTGAGGGCTCCCCTGTCCCTTGCATGAATTTCATGCACCGGGCCTCTAGTGTGTGTGTGTGTGTGTGTGTGTGTGTGTGTGTGTGTGTGTATTTTTTTAAGAAGTCTGGCTATCATGCTAGAGAAACCATATGAAGAGGAGAGGCCCTGAGACCACTGGGAGAGCATAAAAAGAGAGCTCAGCCATCCCAGCATCCTAGTCAAGCCTCCAGGTGATTCAGCTCCAATATCTCAATAACATCTGGGAAATTTTAGGAGAAACCCCAAGTAAGACTCGTTTAGCCTAAAAATGTAATAAAATGGGGGAGAATCCAAGATGGCTGCACAGGTAAACACCTAGCCACAGATGCACACAGCAATTTCAATAAAATACAACTATAATATAAAATGGACATTACCCAGAACTACAGGAAAGTCGACTGACTGGAAATTCTACAACGAGAAGCAAGGAGAAAACCAGAAGGAAGTGCGGAGGAGCTGTAAAAGCCTAAGGTACAGAGACACGCAGCGTGCACAGAGAGGATGGAGCCGGAGAGGAGGGAGGCTGAGTGCCTGGTTGGCGTTCCCTAGCAGGAAGGAGATAAAAGCTCCGGACTGTGCTGGGCCCCAGTTCCGACTGCTCTGAACCCCAGTTCTGGGCCAGACCCTGAGGACCCAGGCTCATCCAGAGGAAGCTGGGCTGTAAGGCGGAACCCCGGGGGAGCAGCGAAAGGAGGTCCTGGAGGCGGCGCGCAGAAAAGGGACAGTCGGCTGTGCCACGGGATTGCCCTGGCGGGAAGGAGACAGGGGCTCCAGACTGCTCTGAACGCCACCTCCAATTCCACTTCCAACTGAACTGAACCCCAATACCGGGCTCATTGGGGGAGAGCCTAGACCAGGTGTCGGCAATCTAAGGCTCCAGAGCCGCATGAGGCTCTTTTGAAGCTTTACCATGGCTCCGACAACTTGCAAGCCTGTGTGAAAATGAAGGTAAAGTCTTACAGCCCTAATGTGCTGACACTGTGCACTGAGGTTCAGGAGCAAAAATCCCATTAACCAGGTAAATTAAATATTTTAATTAGCTATTAATTTGCAAAAATATATTTTACATTGTTAAGTGAAAAAGTCCTTTTTTTTTTTTTCAGATTGACAGCTAACTGCACGATCCGGTATATAGCATTAAGGGAAGAAACAATATATGCAGTGTTATATTTGTTTTAAATGTCGCAATGGTTTTGTGGCTCCCAGGTTTTTTTTTCCTTTGGAAACAGGTCCAAGTGGCTCTTTATGTCTTAAAGGTTGCAGACCCCTGGCCTAGACTGTTTGGTAGCAGGCGAAAATCGAGGGCACCTTTCTCTCAGAGGCTCTTGCAACAAGTACTGAAGGACCCTGAGACTCAGGAGCCACATAGGGAGGGGCTGACGGAAACCAAAGCTGTAGGCTCCACCCTGAAATCCCACCCCATCAGGGAAGCTGCGAAAATGCCAAGATGAAATAGATCACAAACGAAAGAAATGGAGGACAAAAAGCGGCTAGATATAGAGTTCAAATCTAAGCTTATAAGGTTTTTCAAGAATTTCCTAGAAAAGATCAATAAGACCTATGAGGATATGAAAAGGGACCAACTAGAATTAATAAGGAATCAACAAGAAATGATAAGGGATCAACAAGAAATAAAGAATACATTGTCTGAAATAAAAAATATTATACAGAGTCCTAAAAACAGAATGGAAGATCGCAAGAATCAAGTCAAAGATTTGGAACATAAAGAGCCAGAAGACGCTCTTCCACAGAAGCTAGAAGGCAAGAGAATCCAGAAAATTGAAGATAATGTAAGAAACCTCTGGGACAACTTCAAGCGAACCAACATCAGAATTATGGGGGTCCCAGAAGATGAGAGAAAGCAAGATATCGAAAACATACTGAAAGAGTGACAGAAAACTTCCCCCACCTGGTGAAAGAATTAGACTTACAAGTCCAGAAAACGCACAGAACTCCAAACAAAAGGAATCCAAAGAAGACCACACCAAGACAAATCATAATTAAAATTCCAAGAGCAAAAGACAAAGAGAGAATATTGAAAGCAGCAAGAGCAAAGCAAGTAGTTACCTATAAAGGAGCACCTATACAATTGTCAGCTGATTTCTCAACAGAAACCATACAGGCCAGTCGGGAATGGCAAGAAATATTCAAGGTGATGAATAGCAAGAACCTACAGCCAAAGATAATTTATCCAGCAAAGCTATCACTCAGAATCGAAGGCCAGATAAAGAGCTTCACTAATAAAAATAAAAAAAAGCTAAAGGAGTTCATCACTGCCAAACCAGAATTATATGAATTGCTGAAGGAGGTTCTTTCAGAAGAGAAAGTAAATAAATATAAAAATTATGAACAACAACTGCCGGGACCGGTTTGGCTCAATGGATTGAGCGTCAGCTTGGGGACTGAAGGGCCCCGGGTTCGATTCCAGTCAAGGGCATGTACCTTGGTTGCGGGCATATCCCCAGTAGGGGGTGTGCAAGAGGCAGCTGATCGATGACTCTCTCTCATTGATGTTTCGAACTCTCTATCTCTCTCCCTTCCACTCTGTACAAAAATTAATAAAATATATATTTTTTTAAATTATGAACAACAAATACGTAACTATCAACAAGTGAATCTAAAAACCAAGGAAATTAAAAAAAAAAACTGATGAACAATATTAACTATTGAATATAATAGAATCAGAGGTATGGAAGGGGAGTGAACTGATGATTCTTGGGGAAAGGGGGAGAGGGGGATGTGGGAAGAGACTGAACATAGACTGTGCACCTATGGATGAGGACAATGGGGGGTGGGGAAAGGGCGGAGGCTGGGGTGGGAGCCTGGTGGAGGAGAGCAATGGAGGGGTGGAAGGAACATTTGTAATAATATGAACAATAAAAATTTATTAAAAATAAATAAATAAATAAAAACAATAAAAAAATGTAATAAAATGAAATAGTGGTTGTTTTAAGTTACTGGGTTTTGGGATAGTTTTTATGCAGCAATAAATAATTAAAACACTTTCATTCAAATATCCTTGGGACAAGCTGTGTTTGAAATTGAGAAATATTCAAACTTTAGGAAGTTAGTGCAGTGCATATGCTATATGTTATATAATACTTCTAGCAGGACATAAGGCATAATCAAATACACTTATGCAGCAAAATATATAACTATTTACACTAAATGGGATAAACAGGGATTATAAATAATAATCATGTCAAGTTTTGCTGTCAAATGAATCTTGGTGCCAAACTTATAAAAATTCTTTTGATTTCTGAGAATGTGGATAAGAGACTGTGGACCCATACTTATCTCAAAGGGTAAGGATTAGATGAGATAATGTATGGAAAGTATGTACAACAGTACCTGGCACATGGTAAGTACAATTATTTTTCACAATTTTTTTAGAACTCTAAAAATTTGGGATTGGGGCAGAAAGAGAGCCTGACCTGATCATAATCCTCAGGGTCAAAGGGTGCATCCCGCTGCAAAATGTGGTGAAGTTGAGCCTTCACTCGGTGCTGGCAGCTGCTCAAGGAATCACCGTCACTGTCCAGGAGCCCGTTCATGTTGGCACTCTTCACCATTTGTACCAGAATGGGTGTCAGCTCCCCTTCTAGAGCCAAAAGGCCCTGGAGAGGAAGCACAAAGTCTATCAGCTTTCCTTACAGTCTAGCACAGTCCCCCTAGGCCTAGATGGTCTGAGAGATCAAATGAGACCTGGCTAAGACAGTGGTCAGCAAACTGCAGCTCATGAGCCACGGTTTGCTGCTCTGTTGATTAGTGAGTTTGCGGACCACTGGGATAGGGGCTTAATAACAAGGAACAACAACAGCCTGTAATTATTGGAATCTAGAGTCTAGGTCAGTGGTCGGCAAACTCATTAGTCAACAGAGCCACAGTTTGCTAACCACTGGGCTATTATTCTCAGCGCATTCTCAGTAGTAGAGAATGGAGTCGGAACAAGAAGAAACTTCTGAGTCAGCACACAAACACCCTAAATTTCCCAATTAGTTCTCCAAACTCTCTGCTTCTCTACCTAAAGGAAGCTGGGATTGTGGGAGGACTGTGAGGTGCACCTTGGCAAAGGCAGCGGCAGTCATCTGGACGCGGCCCTCGTCAGATGCATAGATCTTGAGATCATGGCGGAAAGTGCTATGAAGCCGAAGCAGCCCACAGCCAGGGAAGCCAGCATAGTCACCTGAAGGCACAGGAAGGACCAGGAATGCATCCCACAAATTCCCACGTGAAAGAAAGAATGCTTATTCCCCCTTTGCCTCAGAACCTTCATTTCCCCCAACTTATCCTCTAACCATTTGATCCCAGCCCTGCTAGGTGTCTATTGCCCCAAACACTTACCCTGTCCTCCAGGGTACATGCAGCGAAAAGCTCTCCCCAGCTCCTCAGCCTGAACACGACCAGCAGGAGTCAGTTCTCCACCCCACTTTAGTACCAGCAAGAGAGATGGAGCTACAGTCTCCTGCTGTGGGTCTACTGGAATAAAAGGCAGTAAGTAGACCTAAATTTGAGGAAAACACTGGAGACATCTAAATGTTAGGTCTTTTGAAGAGCCCAGAAAGGTAATCTGTGGCAGAAGTCATCTAAGGGTTTAAGAACAAGAGATCTGAATGGTAATGGAAAGGGGGTATTATATCTTACCTTGGCCCTCATTAGAAGCTTTTACTCCATGAGGATAATAAGTCAACTGCACCTTCCGGTTGATGCCTGAGAAGTGACCATACCTGCAGGATAAACTCATAGTCTGAGTTTCTATTCCAGCCCCCAATTCTCAGTGTTAACGGGCTCCCTCCCTTTTCCCAGGCCCTTTCTCACATTTCCAGCACAGACTTCAGCTGCTCTAGTTTCCCCGTCTTCTCCTCGATCTCACCCCCGGGTTCTTTCTCCAGTTCAGCCAACAGCAGCCTTGCAATGTCCAGCACCTCCTGAAGGAAGTGATAGGGTATCCATGCAGAAGACCACGTGATGCCCAGGTACCCTTCATCCTGGTCTCTCACAGGGGCCCCCAACCCCATACCCTCTATCTTTCTCAAAGCACTGCTCTTCCAAGCCAGATTCACCATCTTACCTGCAGCTGTTCGGGCCTCTTTAGTTTTAATTTCCCTGTCTTGTAACCACCATGCTTTTCGAACAGGCTAAAAAACCTGAAGAAATAAGGAGTGGGACAGTCAAAGCCTCTGGGAGCTGCCCTCTTCCCATTTCCCTCATAAAAATCTATTTGTCTAAATCAGGGCGCTCTTTCTACCTTGGGTGTGTCACTTCCATCTTCATCTTCTGCTTGGGGGTACGATCCCCATGACGAATAATCGCAATGACACAACGAAGTTCCATCCTAAGATAGGGAATGCTTTTAGAGCCTCTCCCACTTCTCATCCCACCCCATTTCATCCTGCTTGACATGTTAAAGAACAGAGGAAAACTGTCTGCTCTTAGGAATATAGATGAGGTTAAGAAAACTTCCTAGAAGAGACCTCGTCAGAATGCACAGGGTCAGGGAAGTAACTACTGATCTGACTTAGGTGCCATAAGTAGGTTATGCCAGACTTTTCACTTTTGCTCACATAGTGCCAGATGTGGTAGGGACAATGGGAATGTCCTCGGCCTCTGTGGGGATGGACCACGGGATCTGGAACTGTGGGGCAAGTTCTCGCATTATGGTGTTCCTAGAAGGAGAAATGTGAAGAAGCTGTGTGAAAGTGAATGAACCTCACATAGGAATGAAGAACTACACATAAGAATGAACCTCACATAGGAATGAAGCTCACAAAAACTAGCACATTGTAGAAAACTACATGAATAGTCTAAAAATATGCAAACCCTCCACATATTTGTAATAGAAATATTAATACATGTATGAGATTAACAAACACAAATACCTCTGGATGGGAAGAAGGGATGTAATTAGTGAGGCGTATGGAGGGACCTCAATGATATCCTTAATATTTTATTTTTTTAAAAATATATTTTATTGATTTTTAACAGAGAGGAGGAGAGAGGAATAGAGAATTAGAAACATCGATGAGAATCACCGATCAGCTGCCTTTGTACATGCCCTTGACCGGAATCGAACCCGGGATCTTTCAGTCCGCAGACTGAAGCTCTACCACTGAGCCAAACCGGTTTTGGCAATATTTTATTTTATTTTTAAATATATTTTTATTGATTTTATAGAATGTAAGGGATGGAGATAGAAAGATAGAAACATAGATGAAAGAGAAACATCAATCAGCTGCTTCCTGCATGATCTCTACTGAGGATGGGACCTGCAAATGGGGCATGTGCCCTGATTGGTAATCAAACCATGACTTCCTGATTCATGGACCAATGACGTTCAACTACTCAGCTACAGTGACCAGGCAATATTTTACTTTTTAAAAAAATTATTTTTATTGATTTTAGAAAGGAAGGGAGAGGAAAAGAGAGAGAGAGAGACATCAATGATGGGAAAGAATCATTGATCAGCTGCTTCCTGCATGCCCCCTACTGGGGACTGAGCCATGGGCAACCCCTGGCCGAATCGAACCTTTCGGTCCACAGGCCGATGCTCCATCTACTGAGCCAAATTGGCTAGGGCAATATTTTACTTCTTAAGCTCAATGGTGAATACATGGAAACTTACCATATTCATCATTTCTTATACAGTTTTAAATGTTTTAAATATTATGTGATGGATTTTTTAAAAGTCAAGTTGTAAACTTTATTACAATATGATTACATTTAATACAATAAATATAATTTGTTTACACATGGCAGAAAAACACATACCGGTACCATTATGCCTAAGCCTGTTAACAGTAATTACCTCTGGGTAGTACAGAGTTGGTAAGGCAAGAGGGCTGAGGAGACCTTTTTCTATTTTCCTTTTGAAAGCATTTTTATAATATTTAAATTAAAGCAAAAGCTTTTTAACTCTCTTCTCTAAGCTCATTCTTCCCAGCCCAAACCACTGTGTTCCTTACCCCAGAATCTTGGCACAGTCATCGTAGTATTTCATCGAATTCTTGACAAAACTGAAGCCATTGACATCACATACAAAGGAATGACCGTTGGCACGAAGAAGGTCAAAACCACACACTGTTTGCTGCATGCAGAGCAAAAAGGCAACATGAGAACAATGGAGCCATTTTCCCCTCCCAGACCCCTGCTCCTATCCATCTCCTTCATTACACAGCGCCCCTCACCCCCACAAACCTTTACCTTAAAAGCTACACAGACTTTCCTGGCCACCAGCTTTTCCATGGCAGTCAGCATGACCGGATATCGAATCTCTTTTCCTTCACTGTCTCGTTCGACCTTCCCATCCAAAGCTGGAGATTTTCTGGCTTCAGCATGGGCATAATCTGGCCCCACTGTATATACCTGCAGGTACATAGCATCACTGAGTATGCCCACAGCGCACCCTGTATATGAGAAGACAACATGAGCACTAGGTCTGTATGCTAGTTTCAGAGTAAAAAACCAAAACCAAAACAAAAATACACCCAAAGTATTAAAAACAAGGAAACTGACACCTTTCTTACTGAGCCCTACGGAAGTATTATTATGAAAGTTTCTCCTAGGGATTCCAGCACTATCATCCTTATTAAGAAATAATTTACTATTTTTTTATATCATCTTCCATGTCACCTTTGCCCTTGCTATGATAGTAACAATTTAAATATGTACTCCCACCACTTGTTATCTTCAACTGAATATGAAAGCCACTCCCATTCACCCTTTATTTTCTATGTCACCTTCCACAAGCTTCCACTGGCTCCCCAAGCCCCCATCCCACCTAGACATTTATAACCTCTTAAATCCCTATATCCCCCATAACCTTGACATCTGTGCCATCTGTTGGCATAAACTCCTCATAGATGTATGACCCTGTCTTTCGGACGCTGCTCTCAGGAGAATAAACGCTGCTTCGGCTGCCAATCTTTGGAAGGAAAAAGAAGAAAAATAAGAATGTTGCCTCTACTTTATCCCCAAATCCTCCAGCTCCCCTCCCCACCACCTCATTCTTGTCCTTCACCTGCTCTGACTCCCCCATACCTTCCGAAAGAGGCGCTGGCTTCCCCCTCCAGCAGAGCTGGGGTAGTAGATGTAGACATTGTGGTCCTCGGCACTCACGGGCTTCTCCACAAAGGGCTTGGGAAAGACAGCCCCATTCACCTCTACCTGGTCTTCGCCTTCTATCAGGTTGCACTCTGAAAAGTAGGTATGCGGTCATTCCTAGGGCCTAGAATTGTAGGATACTTCCAACTCCTTTTTCTTCAAGTTTTCATCCTTATAACTCTCAAGTTTCTATGATTATATCTTAGTAATAAATATGGTTAATATCTACGGTATATGGTATATAGACATTTAAATATCTATAGAAGATGTCCAAGGCTAAGTCTAAAGACTCATGGCTCTAACTCTACCCATAATCTAATAACCAAAGCTTCACTCAGAGAGATGGTACATAAAAGATGTCCAGAGGATGGAGACCTGGGCTAAGTTACAGAAAGCAAGGCAGGGCAGGACTGGACAAGAGCAGGTACTCACCCTCAGGCCTGGCAGGGTCACGGTTGAGCACAGCATATCGAGGCAGATCAATACCCTCCTCCTGCAGGATCCGGTACACCTCCCTCCTGTCACCCCCAGAATAAATTAGCTGGGAGAGGTGGGGATGGTCACTATGGGGAAGGGCTAGGGATTTCATGTGCTTAAGAACTGGGAATCGCCAGGATGTAGAACTCAAGAGGGTTTGGTACAAAAAGTAAGCCTGTTTGCTTGACTCTGCCCCTCCCAGAGTGGGTTCTCTAAACAGACGTGATCTCCGGGCCACCCACCCCCCCCGCCAGTTAATAGAAAGCTATACCTATCCTGGATGTAATACTGCATGGCCAGGTCATTGATAAGAAAGGGGTTTCGAAGCTTGGAGTAAGCAACGGCTTTGTCCAGAGGAAAGCCTGGGATGGAGAAAGGAAGTAGAGACCAAAGAAAGGAAGCAAAAGAGACAGAGTGAAAAGAAAAAGGGGGAAAAAAGCAAGAGAAATAGACATATTAAAGCTGGTCCATTGAGCTCCCCTACCCATCCATTCCATCTCTTATCCTCTGCCCAACTTCCCAAATCTAGAGTATCCATCAGGAAAAAATTCAAAAAAGAAATTATTTTTAGGGTCCTCAAGATCCTAAGAGCTGTAGAGCTGTCTTAAGGTTCAAATATGGGCTTTACACTACCTGCAGCAACTCCCCTAAGATGTAGGAAAAACAAACCCCTTTGCGCTGCTCTCCAGGGTGTCAGGAAGAACTGAAGGCTTCTTTACTAACTGACAGTAAGAACTACCTTTCCCAGTCCAACATCCCCAGCACCGTTCCTTCCCATTTCCTTCACAGGCCCTCACCTTTGGAGTGGAAAGAAATGAGGCAGTGGCAGGATGGCCAGTTTTCCACAGGTTCATTGAGGATCACATCTTCTCCCAGGATAATAACAGTCAGGTAGTCAAATCTGCAGAGTCTCTCTAGGATTTGGGTCATTGGTTTGGACTTGGATTTCTTCGTCATAGCACAGATGCCAACAATGATCTGAGGTTCAGGAGGCTACGGAGAGGAAGTGCTATCAGGAACCTGGCCATCCCTATCAGGGAACACTGTCTCATCTCCTTAGGGCACAGAGATTCTTGCCAGGACTTTGGACCCAGAGAGTAAAGGTTGTCTCCTAACTTACATCGTAGATTAGGGTGCCTATAGGGGTTCCTACTGCTCACAGAATAGGAGCCTTTCCATAGTAGGAAATGTGTGCTTAGGCAGAAGAGCCAGAGAACCATGAGAAAATAGGGGAGGGGCTTCAAAGGGAGGCAATCCAACCATTCTCCACTCCTCCTCCTCTTAGCCAGGACAGGGCCTGTTTATGAGGGGGAGTCTCTGCATCTGGAAAGAATAACAAGGTGTCTCCATCCACATGGAATTTCAATTCTTTATAGCAAGGGTTCCCAATACCAAATTACATCATTTCCTCTTGTCTTACCATTTCATCCTCCTCATCCTCGAGGAGCTCGCTGTCACTGTCTTCTGTCCTCATGCCTATTCGATGACGGGTGCCCAGCCCCTCATCTCCAGCTCCAAGGAAGAAGTGGGCTGTAGCACTCCCGCTCTCACTGGTCCGAAATGACCACATCCCCGCCGGAGCACCCACTCATCCCGCTCTGCAGTGGAGAGTATCCCGTCAGCTCAGAATCCAAGCCCTACGGCAGTGGGTAGGGGTCTGGAGTGGGGAATCTATATACAATATATATAAAAGCCAAGCGACTGGAACAGCAGAACAGCTGGAACAACCGGTTGCCATGATGCACACTGTGGCAGCCAATTGGCCTGATCCAGGCTCTGATTGGTCCCCCACAAACCTCCTGTGGCCCCTCTCCCCCATGGGCCCACCCCTGATTGGCCTCCCACCAGATGCCAACAGCATCTCCCCAGATATGACAACCAAAAATAGGGGTGGGGCTGGCCAGCCAACCTCCTGTGGTCCCCCCCACCAGCCCCAGCCCCGATTGGCCCCCATCAGGGCAGGCTGGCCAGACCCCATCTGTGCACGAATTCATGCACCGGGCCTCTAGTGAGGAATTAAGAGGAAACAACTCGGGAATTAGGGGAAACAAAGGAAGCTATGGTAAAAAGGATCAACAGGCAAGAAAGCACATGGGCTAAGACTTGAAATGACTAGAGATCCATAACAGAAAAGCAGTCTCCCTTTTCTGCTCACCCCACCTCCAGTTGTGAGATTGATTAGAGGATCAGCAGATTAACCTTTACAGTGCTGTCATGTCCCTGATTCTGCCAGCAGGAAACACCCGTTAACTCTAGTAGCAAATGGGAAAGGCAGTTCCTCATGGAAGGTTACTGTGGATTCCTATGAGAAAAGGTTAAAGTGACATTTCAAACTCTGGATTCATTCCAAAATATTCCTAGTCCTTCTCCACCTTGCTACAGTAGAGCTGAACTCAGTGACTTAATTCAGAGGAACGTGAGATCAGCTGCATTTGCCTTTAACCCCCATCTTCATTCCTACCATGGATTAATTTTAAAAACACACACCACACACACATTTCTTAAAAGGCACCCTATGTTCTAAGCATTATCAGAACAATGAAATTCTCTATTCCCCCTTCTCTCCTTCATCTGCTCCATCTTAAAAAAACAGATGCCCAAGTTCAGAAAATCTGTTCAAGGAAACAGGTCTAATGCCGGTTGTTAGGCTGAGGATACAAGCATCCACACAACAGCCTCCAATCCATTCTCAAACTGAAATCTCAATTTTCTCTCTACCACATCTGGTACTACAGATCCAAGGTTCCTTTAGGCCAGTGTTTCCAAAACTTTTGACATATGTGTATCCCTTCTATAATTTTCATAACACTGAGTACCCCTCGTACTCATGAGAACGTAGAATTAGGCACAGCTAAGCACAGTGCAGTGCATATCCCCACCAAACTCTGGTGCAACACGTACCCCCACCAAACTCTTCCCGTACCTCTGGGGGTATGCGTACCACACTTTGGGAAACACTGCTCTAGGCCAAGGTCCCTCACATCAGAAACTACAATGGGGGGAAAAATCCTACTTAGAACCATATCAGTGAGAATATTTTAAGACATAAACTCAGAACAGCCAAAACCGATTTGGCTCAGTGGATAGAGTGTTGGCCTGAGGACTGAAGAGTCCCAGGTTCGATTCCAGTCAAGGGCATATACCTTGGTTGCGGGCACATCCCCATTGAGGTGTGTGCAGGAGGCAGTTGATCAATGTTTCTCTCATCGATATTTCTAACTCTCTATCCCTCTCTCTTCCTCTCTGTAAAAAAAAATCAATAAAATATATATTTTTTGAAATACTCAGAACCTAGCAGTTCTACCTCTGCGTACATATACCTAGAGTAGCGGTGCTTAACCAATTGTGAATATGCTGTGCAGGGGACATCTGCAGGAGACATTTTTGGTTGTCGTATCTGGGGAGGTGCTATTGGCATCTGGTCAGTAGATGCCAGAGATGCTGCTAAATATCCTTTTTTTTAAATTTTATTTTATTGATTTTGTACAGAGAGGAAGGGAGAGAGACAGAGAGCTAGAAACATCGATGAGAGTCATCGATTAGCTGCCTCTTGCACACCCCCTACTGGGGATATGCCTGCAACCAAGGTACATGCCCTTGACCGGAATCGAACCCGGGACCTTTCCGTCCCCAAGCCGACGCTCTATCCATTGAGCCAAACCGATTTCGGCTAAATATCCATTATTATTATTATTATTATTATTATTATTATTTATTTTAGAGAGGGAGAGAAAGAAACATCAATTTGTTGTTCCACTGATTTCTACTTTCATTGGTTGCTTCTTATATGTGCACTGAGCAGGATCAAACCTGCAAACTTGGCACATGGGGATGATGCTATAACCAACTGAGCTACCCAGCCAGAGCCATGCTGCTAAATAGTCTAAAATGAATAGGATATTCCCCCACAACAAAGAATTATCCAGTCCAAAATGTTAGTACCAAGGTTGAGGAACCCTGCTGAGAGAAACTCTCTCACATAAGATATGTACAAAGATGTTCATAACCTCACTGTTAATAATGAGAAAAAATAAAAACAACTCAGATGTCACAAGTAGAAGAATGGATAAGTACAATGTAATGTACACACATGATAGACTAATAGCAATTAAAAAAAACATTGGCCCAGCCAGTGTGGCTCAGTGATTGAGCACTGACCTATGAACCAGGAAGTCACGGTTTTTATTCCATCAGGGCACAGGCCCATATTGCGGGCTCAGTTCCCAGTAAGGGTGTGCAGGAAGCAGCTGATCAATGTTTTTCCCCTCATCACTGATGTTTCTCTCTCTCCCTCTCCCTTTCTAAACATATAGAAATACATGCAGCACAGTTCCATCTGTTTCTGACTCTCTATCCCTCTCTCTTCCTCTCTGTACAAGATCAATAAAATATATATTTTTTAAAATAAATAAATAAATAAAATAAAAAACCTGATGAACAATATTAACTGGTGAATATAATAGAATCAGAGGTACGGAAGGGGAGTGGATTGATTATTCTCAGGGAAAAGAGGAGTGGGGTGTGCGGGAAGAGACTGAACATAAACTGTGCACCTATGGATGAGGACAACGGGGGGGTGGGGAAAGGTCAGAGGGTGGGGTAGGAACCTGGTGAAGGGGGGAAAAAATGAGGAACTTTTGTAATAATCTGAATAATAAAGGTTTATTTTTTTAAAAAATCAATTAAAAGAATTACTTTATGTATTTTTATTCAAACCCTATCATTACAAGTGGGAGTTGCAGGGGTTTTTTTTTCTTTTTTTTAAAAAAATATTTTTTATTAATTTCAGAGGAAGGAAGAAGAGGGAGAGAGAGATAGAAACATCAATGATGAGAGAGAATCATTGATCTGCTGCCTCCTACCCACTCTGCACTGGGGAATGAGCCTGCAACCCAGGCATATGCCCTTGATGGGAACTGAACTCTATCCGCCTCTATCCACAGAGCCAAACCGGTTAGGGCATATTTTTTTTTCTTTTTTTAGAATTTTGCTGGTGGGGGTTGCTGTTTTGATTAGAAAGTTAGTTAACCTTTACATAAAGCTAGACCTTTCCAGTCTTCACCATCCACTTGTCTCCCTTGCTCAACCACCCTGGGGGCAAGACCTTCTCCTCCAACTTCATAGTCCCAATTGTGCACTGAAGGCCTTGAACACTCTCCCCTCCTGACTAATAGGCTATTTCTTTGAACTTCTTTTAGGTGACCTGACCCAATTTTCATGACTTGTGGCATTCCCAAGGTCCCTGCAGAGAGAGTTTCAGCAAGTAGAACTTTGTTGCAATCTTTATCTTTTCTCTGAAGCAAGAGCTTTTTCTCCTAAGATTTCTAACCTTTCACCCTTTCTTACACTCAGTCCTTCCTGGTTTGTTTGTTTGTTTGACTGAATATACACAATCATGTGCTTGAAGTTCTATTGCAACTCTAAAACAGGAGATGGTAACAGGAGGAAGGAGAGTCTGTTTACAGGAGAGATGAGAGGTCTAAATTCATAGTTAACAAAGCAAAAATAGAAGCCTGCCAGAAATAGATATGAAATAAGCGAGGATTTATTTAGATGTACCTTTGGGAGAAGCTGGGCCTTAACGTGGTTGTTCCAAGAGCCACCCCCCTGCTTTCTGTGCTCTTCTCCCATTCCCTCTCCCGCAATACTTTGTTGCCAGAAAGAAAAAGAAAACTTCACAGAGTCTACATTTGGTTAAAGGGCTGCCTTACTCTGGCCAGTTTCCCTGAAAGGAAAGGAAAGGAGGGAGGGAGGGAGGGAGATCAGAAGGATGGGAGAGGGAGGGGCAGGTGGCAATGTTCTCAGGAACATCTTTGTGAAATCAGATCTGGAGAAGGGGTAGGAGAGAGAGAGTCAACTGTGGGACTTCTTTATCCCTTAGAATTCAGGGCCGCTTGCAGTAGTCCTCCCATCTCCTTCATCCCCGTCCACTTGATGGAGTGAAGGGGAAACATCAACACCAAATTCAGGCAGGAAGACTTCCAACGCAATACAGCTCTTGGCCACCAACCCCAACTCCTTCCCGGCCTCCACAGGGGGCCCCTCAGCTCCTTCTGGTGCAATCTTCTCAGTCCTCCTGCTCACACCCATGCCCTGCGGCCCGCTGCCCTGGTCCTCAGCATTCCTCACTCCCACTGCCTTCTTCCCCCAACGCCTCCCCCCGGACTCCCTGCCCACTCCCATCACTCAGCGACGAACCCAAATAATAACCCAAGCCTCTCCCTCACTAGCTCCCCAGCACTGGACCGTCCTCCAGCCCTCAGACGAGTCGCCACACTTGGTCACATATTTCCGTGGAACCCTCGGTGACCCCCCCCCCCCCAAAGACTGCCTGGGCCCCCGTCTTTCCTCCCGTGACACCCCCACCCCCGCACCTCCTCCCCCGGCAACAACCCCTTCCTCCCGCTGACCCTCCGGGCTGCCTCCACTCCCACTCCCCGCACAGCCTCCCACCGCCACCTTCTCCCGCGCCGCCCGCGCGGCCTCTCCCGCAGCCCCCTCCCCGGTCCTCTCCCGCGGACCCCGGCCGCCCGCCCGCCCGGCCGCCCGCGAGCCCGGCTCCTCTCGCCTTCGCCCGCCCCCGCCCCGCCCGCCGGGAAGGAGCACTGTCCCCCCGCTGACATTGAGGCCTCCCCGCCGGGTCTCCAGCCACAGCGGCCCCCAGCGGGGCCGCACCACAGCCCCGAGCGCCAGCCGAGCCCACCCTGCGCAGCCCACCCGCTCCGATACCGCCCCCAGCCCCAGCCACTCCCCCACCGCCCCCGGCCCGCACTCACCCGCCTCCCCACGCTCGCGCAGCCGAACCTGCCGGCAGCGACACCTGACAGCGGCCCAATCGAAGCGCGGCTCCTCCGCGGTGCCGCCAATCAGCGCAGGGCGCGCACCGGCGGCGGAGTCAGGCTGCGTTGGCCGGCGCTTCTGCGCGGAGGAGAGTGGCCCCTAGCGGCTCTGTGGGGGAAGTGCAAGCTGATGCTCCGATTTCTAACTGCGTCGCCACAATTCAGATGCTGCTGCACTTGCCAGGGATACAGAGAAGCGGGGAGGAAAGCAACCTGCAGAGGAAGAGGAAGGGTTTGCGTCGTTGCACCTCCCGGAGGACAAAACCTCGTCTTCTTTTTGTTTTACAAAAACAAACAAACAAAACAAAAACGGGCTATGATATCAGTAGAGATCCAATAAATATACCTTAACAATGTTAACGAGTGAAGAAGTCAAGTAAATGGATGGACATGGAAGGCTGAACAAGTTGATTCCTTTCTCCTCACTTTGCTTGTTCTCTGTCCTCTAGACTTGACTCCTGGCCTTGCTGGTAATAGCTGTGCAGCCTTGGACAAGCTACTGAACTTCCTTCAGCCTCCGTTTTCTCATAAAAGAGTGGGATTAAAAACCTAGCTCGTAGGGTACTGATTATGTAAAGCATTTTGTATATGTTTGTATTATATTTGCAGCCTCACGTAGATTTCCCTGATCAAAACAATTCATTGTTTCTTCCTGCACCCTTAGAAATCATACCACTTTTTTAGTCAGGTGCATATTATACTGACCCCAAGGCTTCCCAAGAGTTAGAGATGATTTTAATGACTGGCCCTAAGAGAAATAGGAACCTCCTTAGTTCATGTTCAGGCTCATATCGCTTCCACCACTCCAGCCTTTCAAACAAGTTATTAAAGCATCTTGTAGGTAATTAACATGTCTTCTCATTCTCCTGAAGATGTAGACTCAGTCTCTATCTAGTCAGCCATTGGAACACTGCAATTCAATTCGATGAAATAATACACACAAGAATCCCTTGTAATTGTAAAGTGCTTTATAAATGTTGAATATGATTGATAGTAATAATTATTAAATACCATATATTGAGTGGTTTCTTTATTTAAATTTTAAAAATTAATGAGAGAGAGAGAGAGAGAGAGAGAGAGAGAGAGAGAAAAGATGTGGGGGAGGGGGAGAGAAAGACACTGACATTTTTTCCACTTGTTTATGCATTCATTGGTTGACTCTTGTATTTATGCTGACTGGGGATCTAATCCACAACCTTGGCATATTGGAATAATGCTCTAACCAACTGATCTACCTGGCGAGGGCTTAAGTGATTTCTTTACTCCTCTAGGCAATTCTTGTTTTCCCTTTTGTAACTCTCTCTTCCTGCTTCCTACCTCTTTAATTTATAACTGGCCTCTCAGTCAAATAACCCTACTTCTCTGGAAGATTATCTCCTTCCTTTATCAGGGTAAATACACACCCTGCAATTATATTTGCTTGCTCCTAGCTACTCCTCAATCTAGGTAATGAGCCCCCACAACACAGGTAACGTTTTGCGTGTCTCTCCAAGCGTGACTGTACTTCAACTGCAGGATTCAATAACTGCTCTTTTACTAGGAGAAAAAGGTGTTCAGTGATGCACCCAAAAGAGAGGTGGATGGCTTCTAAAGATACCCACAAATGAAGAAAGCAGAAAGAGGAACACAAGGGAAGCCTGAAAATGAAGGGGATGAAAGGAACATCTCTTCCTCAAATACTCTCCCCTAAGATTTTCAAGCACCTTACTGTCTTGTGGATACACCAAGAAAGCTGAGGGAAGGGGCCAATGCCACCACGACTACCCCACCTTCACTGACCCTCCATACGGAAACCCCACATCTCTTTCAGCTCCAACCTTTATTCTCCCTTCTGCCCAGACAAAAGTCAAGTCACACCCAAGTCACACTCGGTTGGAATAAAGCTGTAGGAAGAAAGCCCTCTTCCATCTAAGGAAAGAGGGGGGGATGGAGGACCAAAGGGAAGGTGGAGATTCCCTGAAGACCTTATGCCCTTGGACACCACGCCCCGCTTTCACCCTGGATTACACAGCATTAAGGAGTCAAGAGAGGAAACACATGTGGCGAACGGAAACCTGTGCCCGCCTGTCCCATTCCTACACCCAATCATCTCACCACACCCTGCAACTCACCTCACACTTCACGCCAGCCAGCGAACTGGGAGCTTCAGAGAGGGGAGAGGAGGAAGAGGAAACTGGCAACTCCCTGCCCAGCCCCAGCCTTACCTCCGTGCAAACCGCAGGTAAGGTGAGCAAGTGTGCCGGGACTTCTGAGAGGGAGTCCTGTGAGCAGCTTGGACTAGACTGCTGAGGAGGAGAAGATCAAAGGTGAACCCGAAGATGGGAAGGAGGGTGGTGGAGGGGGAAAATGTGTGTGTGTGTGGTGAGGGGGGGGGGGGTCCTAAGAAGTGCAGGCAGGCCATAGCAGAGCTTCAGATGAGTGGCCAGGGTCGGGGTGGGGGAACCCAGCACAGGTCAGGCTGGAGTTCATGTCTCCCCGATCCTTCTCCACCTTGTAAGGAGAGCACAGGTATGAAGGGAGGTGCCTTGGTTCTCTTCCTGGTTCTGAAGAAAAGGTGACCTTGAACCAGCAGCGGGAGTCTTTCCCGGTCTCTGCCTCTAACTTTGTGCTGCTTTCCCCGTGTTCTCCTCTGGCACCTGTCTGCATTCCCCGGCCTCCCCGGGGCTGCCTCCCCTGGGAAGACTCTGGAGAAGTTGCTGGGGCAGACTGAACACAGAGAAGAGGTCGGGCACTGTCACCCTTTCACACCCCCAGAGTGACGAAGAATCGAGCTTCCAATTAAGCCCGAGAGGCTTGGGGGAAGGGTGTTCGCGCAGACCCCTTGGGTGCTGTTCCTCTACTTGGTGCTGAAATCTGGGCGGCTTTATCCCAGGGGAGGGGGCAAACCCCCCACACACACCCCCAATCTAACAGGCGGCTGCCGCCTACCTCCGTCTCCGCACACCTAGCGCGGTGGCAGGCGGAGGGCGGGGTCTGGGCGAGCCCCACCCCTGGAGACTGCGGCTGAGTGAGGCCTCCCTCCCTCCTCCCGCTAGCTCATTGCGCCTTTCCTGCAGGCTGGTCGGCACCGGCTCCCACGCCAGGCTTCACCCCGGGCCCCATTTTGGCTCCAGCCTTGCACCCAGCAGTCCCAGCCCGCAGTGCCCCTGGTGGCATCCTCCCTCCCGGATCCCGCCCTGCTCCTGCTCCTGCTCCTGCTCCTGCTCCTGCTCTGACATTCCGTAGCAGGAACCTCAAGCCATGGCCGGTCCCTTCTCCCGGCTGCTGTCGGCCCGCCCGGGGCTCAGACTCCTGGCTTTGGCTGGAGCTGGGTCTCTCGCTGCTGGATTTCTGCTCCGCCCGGAACCTGTACGAGCCGCCAGTGAACGACGGAGGATGTATCCCCCGAGGTATCAGGGTCTGAGCCCTCCACCCCCGCCCCGGGAAGTGGTGATGATGGGAGCCAAGATGGGGATGGAGAGGAGGGCAGGGGAAACGGAGGAGGGCTATAGCCACGAAGGCTCTGGAGTGGGGTGCTGTACAGTCTGGAGACCTCCCTCTGGGGTCCTGCCCAGAGCCTGCTCCTGCCCTGACATTCGGTAGCAGGATCCTCAAGCCGTGGCCTAGTGCTTAGTGGGTGGGGGTGGGAGCCAAACCCACAAGGCCAAAGCATTCCTGGGGACCTGGAGCCTGCCGTCTCTCCCCACAGGACCGGCTCTGGTCCAGTCAGTTCTGGTTGCATCTCTGTCCAAATCCCTAATGGAGAGATCAGGAACTATCCCTTTTGATCTCTTTCATCTCCTTTTCTTGTTGTTCTCCCCCATTTTCCTAAATTTCCTCCTTAGTCTTTCCCCTCCCCCATTCTTAATGTTGTGCTCTAGGGATGAAAGAATGGAGCAGATCTAGGAGAATTGAGCTGGCCAGCCAGGGGAAGCTAGAACAGCTGGGAAAGAACAGACCCTGAAATCCCTAATGAGATTACCAAGGTTTAGCTTCCCTGTAGTCTCCCCTCCTCCCAAGGAGGACAGCCAGACAGAGCGAATTGGACAGCTCCTGGCTGCCTGCACTAGGTCTAGCCCACCTGTGCTCTCCCTCCATGGTTACTGGGTACCCCCTCCCTAGTGCTGAGTACCCAGACCTCCGAAAGCACAACAACTGCATGGCCAGTCACCTGACCCCAGCGGTCTATGCCCGGCTCTGCGACAAGACCACACCCACTGGTTGGACGCTAGATCAGTGTATCCAGACTGGCGTGGACAACCCCGGCCACCCCTTCATCAAGACTGTGGGCATGGTAGCTGGAGATGAGGAAACCTATGAGGTAGGGGGCTCTCAGAGTTTCCCTGGTTGATCCAACTCATCTTCCCAGTAACCCCAGCTCCTTCCCCATAAAAACCCCTTTCTTACCCTTGACACTGATCCATCTGTACTTATGTTTTCTGTCCCAGTGAAATCAACCCACATTGAAAGCCAAGGAGGGGATGCCCCCTCCCTAACCATCTTCTTCCTCCTGACTCCCCTTCAGGTATTTGCTGAGCTGTTTGACCCTGTTATCCAAGAACGACACAATGGATATGACCCCCGGGTAATGAAACACACCACTGACCTGGATGCCAGTAAGGTGGGTCAGATAGTCCACGTTGGACTTGCATTGCCTTACGGACAACATTCTGTTTCTTCGATCCTTAATTATCTTTTGACTTGTGGTCATTATACTGCTGAGCTTTCATTCTTGGTGTGGGGAAAGGATTGTGCTTTAAGCAGCAGACATGAAGAAGAGAGGGTGCTTGAGAATGACCATACTGCAGGGTGGGCAGTTTGGGGGAGGGGTCATAATACCCACTTCAGTTGCATTGCTTGCCCAATGGACGTCTCCTTCCAAGGCATGCAACGAGGACTCCTCTATCTGGTCACCCTAAGACTAGGAAGAGAACGTCAGGCATCTGTTCTTCTCCAAGGCCCTCTGTTCCCACCTATTGTGTTTATGATCTATATTAATTTCTCTTATTCCACAGATCCGTTCTGGCCACTTTGATGAGAGGTATGTATTGTCCTCGAGAGTCAGAACTGGCCGAAGTATCCGGGGACTCAGTCTGCCTCCAGCTTGTACTCGGGCAGAGCGGCGAGAGGTGGAACGTGTTGTGGTGGATGCACTGAGTGGCCTGAAGGGTGACCTGGCTGGTCGTTACTATCGGCTCAGTGAAATGACGGAGGCTGAGCAGCAGCAGCTTATTGATGTGAGGGGCCTGGAGAGAGTGCTCGGTGTGGGGGGACCAGATGGGAAGGAGAGTCAGAGGGCAGGCTGGGCCAGAAGGGATAGATGGGCTTTGAGAGGCCTAGGGGCTACTGAAAGATTTCTTAAGCCAAGTTACTTTATCTCCCCAGGACCACTTCCTATTTGATAAGCCTGTATCCCCATTGCTGACTGCAGCAGGAATGGCTCGAGACTGGCCAGATGCCCGTGGGATCTGGTATGAGGCTTATCTTATCTCTTTCGTCACCATGTCCTTATAAATGCCTTTTGCCCTTCTACCTCACCCTCATTCTTGCCCTGACTATTGACCTCTGTCCTTCCTTCTCTCCTGTCTTCAGGCATAACAATGAGAAGAGCTTCTTAATCTGGGTGAATGAGGAGGATCATACCCGGGTCATCTCCATGGAGAAGGGTGGCAATATGAAGAAAGTGTTTGAAAGATTCTGCCGAGGCCTCAAAGAGGTTGGACAAGAGTGTATACGGGAAATAGGTGGGGGGAACATAAGAAAAAACAAAATGCTAGCCCATGTAGATTCACCATGTAAGTTATTAACCAATCCAGGACACTTCTGATAGTAAAAGATCACCATCAATTACTCCAGGACAACAGGTATAAATCAAAGCTGTCCAAGGGAAACCAGGATATATGGTCACCCTAAAACTAGGAAGAATCTAAAAAAATAAAGCCATTATCAGATAATCAGAAGAAAAAATAATAGATGGTGGGTCAGTGCCTGGGGTGTGTGGTGTGGGATGTGCAGATAAGGAAAAGGTTTGAGCCTGGATTGATGTATGGAACAAGAGATTGGTGTGTTCATGATTCTATGGGCCCAGCACGCTTCCGCTGCGCGACTCTGCTAGGATACGGTGTGTTCATGATTCTAATGTAACCACTCAGTTCTGAGCTGAGGTAGGCCTCGCCTTTGGATTCTGTCATTCCTGCTAAAGTATCAAGTCCAAGTTTAAAACTGAGAGGGAGAGGGAGATAGAGAGAAGGTGGAGGATCAACTGGCTTAAGAAGTTCAGAATATGTGGCTCTACATGAAGGGTTGAACCTCAGTCCTATGTGGATTGGGCTTCCATATTCAATTCTAGATTAGGAGTTCCTATAGATCCAATTCTTATTGTATGTTCTTATGTATGTTCTTATATGTTATACAGTTCTAGTTTGGACTTATAGAGAGCTCTTCTTTTTATATTCTAGCTGGGAAATTTCTACTGTTTTTTTGTTTTGTTTGTTTGTTTGTTTGTTTTGTGTGTGTGTTTTTTGTCAAGTAATAGATAACATTCTGATTAGTGGGTAGGGAAGTACTTTTTAAATTATGTACCTCAGTTTCCTCAACTATAAAATTGAGATAATAAGACTTCCTACATTTTAGGTTGTTGTGGGGATTAAATGAGATAATGATTATAAAATACCTAGCCCATAGTAAATGTTCAAAAAGGTTTAGCTGCTGTTGTTATTCTAAATGGAAGGGTTTCCCTGTGTTCAGCATGTAAACATCCCCTGATGCCATGATTCTTTCTGAACAATAAACAGGGTCCCCGCTGCTCATGTTAGGTGGTGGTAACGCCCACCACTCTGGCGGATCCCGTCTCTTCAACTGTAATGGTTGTCTTCATGACTAGGACATTTAAGTAAAACAAAAACACCCTAACACTACCTGGCATACACACATACCTGTAAGTCTGGCCCTTCTACACTTTTTGTCTTCCACAGCTAACAGAAGACTCTCTTGCCTCTGCCTGTTGCAAAGCCTACATTTTCTTTTTCTGTCTGAAAGAATCCTCCCAAAACAAAGATAATGTATGCAGAGCTCATTGAATAATCAATTCTTTCTCAGTTCAGTTGAACACCTGTGGACCATCCTTAATGCATCATTCCCTCCAGTTTCTCTTCTTCAACACACAAGGTATTTTTCTGCAATCTCATCATTATGGGCTTACCTTATATGCAACATAATAACAAACCATTTCTGCAAAGCAAACAACACAAAATCCTGGACAGGGTCATTCTTTCACATCCCAAGTTTCTGGTCCTAGACATATTTCTAGAGTCCTGTGAGTCTAGCTACGGGAGTGTCCACGTATTCCTGACTTTTCACTAACAAAGCCTTTGTCAACACAGGTGGAGCGGCTGATCCAGGAGCGTGGCTGGGAGTTCATGTGGAATGAGCGTTTGGGCTACATCTTGACCTGTCCATCTAACCTGGGCACTGGACTACGAGCAGGAGTACACATCAAACTGCCACTGCTAAGCAAAGTAAAGGAGTTGTGGGATTAGAGAGGCGTGTGAGTGAAGAAGGTGGCTGTGTGTGGATGAGGGAGTGGGCACTTTGGAAAGGAATCAGACACATTGGGAAAGAGCTCTAAACAGGTTCAGGGCCCTCTCAGGTAGAACCAATCTTTGTCTCTATTCACCCTGCTCCCAATCCCTATCTTCCTTCCAGGATAACCGCTTCCCAAAGATCCTGGAGAACCTAAGACTCCAAAAGCGTGGTACTGGAGGAGTGGACACAGCAGCCACAGGCAGTACCTTTGACATCTCTAATTTAGACCGTCTGGGCAAGTCAGAGGTGAGATCTTCAGGGATTAGGGTGAGGAGAGGTATAAATCTGTGGGGGTTGGGTTGAGATATAACAGTGAGTGAGTCTCAGGAATTTAATAGAATCTGATTAAGAATCAGGTTGAGTGGGGAGGCAATTGGAAATGAGTTCTCAAAGCAGGCAAATCAGTGCTAAAGGAGACTCAGGTGGTGGGAAGCAGAGATCAAGGGTTCGTGTCCGTTAGGTGGAGCTGGTGCAACTGGTCATCGATGGAGTAAACTATTTGATTGACTGTGAACGGCGTCTGGAGAGAGGCCAGGATATCCGCATCCCTCCACCTCTCGTCCACAACAAGCATTAACTCCCCATCCTCAGCAGATGACTCAAGATCCCCAGGACTTCCGCCCAGTCTAATGGTGGTCTATCCTATTTGCCCTGGATGCCCCCCCCCCCACTTCCTGTGTCCCAGTAAAGACACCTTGCTATGCTCCAACTGTCTGTGTTTTTCCTAATGATGGGGTGAGGAGGGAGCAGCCTCCATGAAAGAAAGAGAGGCAATGGGGTTATTTATGATGGAAAGAAACTCCAGACACGGCATGCCAGGAACACTGATTCTCAGCAGGGTGGAAAGCATTCCCATTTGACCCATGTTCCTTATCAGCTTTCTGAAAGTAATTAGAATATAATTCCATTTTCGCTTTATTCACTATGGCTTAAGGTTTCTTTCCCAACAGTCACTCTTTAACTGTAGAGACAGGTTCATAACAGGTTGCCAGCGAAGCAGATGGCTAATGCTAAGATCCAGGAGGGCTGTGACCAGTTCTGGAAGCCGCAGGCTGCGCTTCGACCTACGATGAGACAGAGAATGGAAGGAATGTCACAATTATGCTCCCCAGGAGCTACCAATACTTGTAAACTATCTGTCTGTATACCCCTTCACTCCAGGGATCTTCTTGGGTTGGTTCTAAGTCAGATAGCACCTAACTAGGAGTCAAATTCTGGGTTAGGAAATGGAGAGGGTCAAGCTGTGCAGTTGAGAACTCACCCTGCTGTTCTGGGCTTTCCATCCCCTCATGCTGCGCCCATGCAACTGCACGTCGCTGCTCAGGACTCAGAAAGGCCATTTGCTCAGGAGTCACAGCCACGGCCTGAACACTGGTGAGACTAGATAGCTGGGTGGGGCTGAAAACCACCTGGGGTTGGAAGCAGGAATCAGTATATCCAGTGTATCCTGTGTTGGGCTCTGCTCTTGTGGTCAATCCACACTCCAATCCATCAATACTTACAGCAAATTTAGGAGCAGGGATGACAGAAATGGCAAGAGGGGTAAGGCCCTGAATTTGTTCCCGCAGCAGTGCTGAAAGGGCCAGGTCTGGGATCCCAGCTGTTGAAGCAAGTGGGATGGGCATCCAAAAGTTGTCGTAGACAGGCCTCTTCCCTTCTCTTCAAACTTATAGACCTCTTCCAACCATAGACCTTCCCCAACACATCACCAACCTCTTACCTAAACTCCCAGACTCCCACCTTGAGAATTCCAGCAGTCCTCCACCCATGGAATGGAAACCAACATCTGACAACAAGCACCAGCAGAGACCCAGCCTCCGTACCTGCTATTGTACCAATTTCAGTGAAGATCTCAGGCCCCCAGTTACTGACTGGGCCAAAACCACCAGGCAGCACAAGGAGTTTGGCCAGAACCTCCAGTTGGTCCTCAGAGCACTGGAAACGCAGGTGGCCCAGGAAGAGAGCTGCTTGGCTGTGGAAGAGTGAGGAGAAGGGAGAAAGATTCAGCTATGATGATCTGAATAGAGATGGCTTCAGGTGAGGTCCCTTCCTCCACTTCTTTGTGATCCTTCCCTCCCCCAGTGAGCCCACCCTTTACCTCAGCATCACCACCCACAACCCTCCCTCCACAGGTGACCTAAATTCCCAACTGTTGATATGCTGTAGTTCCTCTGGTCGAAGTCCACAGAGAGTGTAACCCAGTGCAGTCAGGTGAAGGAAGTCCAGGTTGCTCATGTGTCGGCCGCTCTGTCGCAGGAAACTGTAGACCACAACTCGGAGCTGGGGTGGGGGTGGAGGGCATAGGATGAGAGAATTCATGGAAAATTAATGGATGGGGAAGTGATAAGTGCTACTAGATTATATTCTTTTTTATTTTTTATTTTATTAATCCTCATCGGATTTTTATTTATTTATTTATTATTTTTTAATTTTAATTTCTTAAAATTTCTTTATTGATTAAGGTATCACATATTTGTCTTCAACCCCCATTCCAATCTCCCACCTCCATCCCCACTCATGCTCTCACCCCCCTATTGTCCTTGACCACTGATTAGGCTCATATGCGTGCACATAAGTCCTTTGGTTGATCTCTCCCTTTTATCCCCACCTCCCCTTTGAGGTCCAACAGTCTGACCTCCTTATCTCTGGGTCTGTATATTCTTGCATTATTAAGACCTGAAGATCCAACAAAATAAACTGAAGAACCAAGTGGATCCAGAGACATGGAAGCATGGAACAGAGTGCAGAATCTTGGGGGGAAGGTAGGGGAGGGTAAGTGGGTGGGAGGTAATCAACCAAAGACCTTGTATGTGTACATGCATAATCCATGGACACAGACAATAGGGTGGTGAAGGTCTGGAGTGGGAGATGGGGGCAGGCTGGAGAGGGTCAATGGGGGGAAAAGGGAACATATGTAATAATTCCAACAATAAAGATTTTTTAAAAATAATAAATAAAGAAGACCTGAAGATCCAATAGCCATGAGTAAGGTTGAGGACCCAGAAAAAGAGGGAAGAGAGGCAGCAGGGAATACTATGTCCAGGACCTCAGAGTGAATAAATCACAGCGTTTCCAAGGCTACTAGTATGGAGTATTAAGAAAAGATAGAAAGAATGGCCTTTCATAGTCACAGGAAAAAATTCTTGGGCTTTAAATAACCTAGAGGCCTGGCCTGTGCCATGAGTGCTTGGAAGGTGATAGGAAGGAAGGAAGGTGTTACCTGGGCTGAGCTCCAGCCATCTATTTGCCCCAGGGTGCTCAGCACTGCCCAGTCCACCAGGATTAGCTCCTGTAGTTCCCGCTCTCCTAGACCTATTAAGAGCCGACCTAGCTGCAGGATTTGCTCAGGACGAAATCCCCGCGGGGGACCCCACAACTATGGAGAAAGAGAGGAACAACGTGAGTGGAAAAAGCAGAGGACTAGGAGTCCGAATGCTGGGTCATAGTCTTGCCTCTGACCTTAGCTGTGTAAGTCGAGGCAAATCACATGCCTTCTCTGTGTCTTAGTTTCCTCAACTATAAAATGAAAGGGTTGGAATAAAGTTCCTCTGACTAAGCTGTTACTGGAAGATTCTACAGTCTCAGTAGGAAAATAGCAGACTCCAGCCCATGAGTTCTAAACTGTTATGTGCACCAGACTCACCAGGGATTCTGTTAAGATGCAGATGCCCAGACCCACCCTCAGTGAGTCTAGCATGGGACCCTGGCATCAACATTTCAAGTACCTGCTCCCCAGATGCCTTTAACACACACTGAAGTTTGGTAACCACTGCTCTAGTCCCTCTGCCCAATTGCATTAGTTTTCTTTCCTCAATATTCATCCCCTCTGACTTTCTACTCAAGAGCCAAACCCTCCTTTTTGGGGGCAGGGGGATGGGAGAGGCAAAACTTAAAAAAAAAATTTCAATTACAGTTGACATACAATATTATATTAGTTTCATGTGCACAACATAATGATTAGACATTTATATAACTTGCAAAGTGATCACCCAGATAAGTCTGGTATCCATCTGCCACCATACACAGTTATTACAATATTATTGACTATATTCCCTAAACTGTACTTTATATCCCTGTGACTATTTTTGTAACTAGCAATTTGTACTTCTTAATCCCTTCAACCTTTTTCACTTGTCTTCCTACTCCCCTCCACACACCCATCTGAGGATCATCAACTTGCTCTCTGTATCTATGAGTTTGCTTGGTTTGTTAGTTTATTTATTTTACTTTTTAGATTCCACATATAAGTAAAATCATATGGTATGTGTCTTTCTCTGTTTGACTTGTTTACTTAGCACAATGCCCTTTAGGTCATCCATGCTGTCACAAATGGCAAGATTTTATTCTTTTTTATGGCCAAGTAATATTCCATTGATATATGTACCAAACCTTTAATCCTTTTATCTCTATTCCTCAACCTCTCATCCCAGAATCCATTCACTTCTGTCCTGCACCACACCCAACCAGCTTTCCCACGTTTTTTCATCTCCAACCCCACTGGTCTCCCATCCTTAACCTGTTTTGCCATGCTCATTGCTGCCCGTAGTTCCTCAGGCCCAAGTCCCCGGTCTCCTGCAAAGAGTGCCAGGCAGTCCTCGAAGTCTGAGAGTTCCATCTCTGCAATCTGAGTTGCAGACCAAGCTGCCGGAAATGTCCCCCGTACATCTGCACAATTTGGCACAGGTTCTAAAGGGGGAAGGTAGGGCCTGGGTCAGTGTAGTATTAAAATATGATACTATTTTATAGAAAGCTACCTATAGATGGAATGACCCTCTCCAAACTTTGGTCAATGTGAGCAGTATGAGTCAAGGGATTACTATAGTGAGAGATGTATAAGACACACAGGATATCAGAACAAGTGACTGGAGAGAACAATCCCCTCACTGTATAGATGGAAGATTGAGGGTGCTGCCTAAAGATTTAATGGCAGATCTATATTAGAACCCAGGTCCCTAGCCCCACAGGGGGTCCTTCCTATATTCTAAACATTTTCCCAGCAGAGAGCTCCACCACACTTAGCCAAGCCGAGAGCTGAGTCAGCTGTTAACAGGGGTAAGAGAATAGGACAAGAGGTGTCCTAGGCTGACTTCTGATTACATTGTTGTATACTCTTTCCTGTTCACCCTGCCAGAAGCGTGAGTATTTGGGGAGTTTCACCTGGGAGAAAGTCTACAGCGGGCTGTACAATTCCAGCTACCAAAGCTGCTTTCTTGGGAGCAAGCTGTGGCCCCCCACACAGCTGTCCAGCTCTGCTCTGTTCCCAGCTCTGCTGTTTCTCTAGGAGACGCTCCAGGGACTCTGGGCCCAAGGCCTCCTGTGTGGGAAAGTAGAAGGGAGATGGGGAGACCTGGGAAGGTCAGGGCCAACGGCTATAGCTCTAATTCCAAAGTCCTGTCTCTTTTTAACAGTCTCCCCCAAATCTGGGCTTCACAATCTCTGCCCTCAACCTCCTTGGCCTTTACTTTCCAGAACCAGCTCACCAGTCCCCTTTCTCTGTTCTTACTCCCTCCCTTGTTCCTTCACCTCACCCTAGGGATCAAGGAAATCGCCTCAGTAGACAGAGTGAACACTAGGCGTCCAGCTTGCTCTACTTCATCCTGGCTCCAGAACTCTGGTTTCCTGGAAAGGGGGCAAAGGGGTAAGAAGAAGATCAGGAGCTGGGATGTTGAAGGAACTATGAGGAAAAGGAAAGGGACTAGAAGACATAGTAGGTTGGGGACTCAGGGCTCCAAGAGACCTCACACATATTGATGGGCTAACACTGATAATGATGGTTGAGAGGCTCTGAAGTTCTCAAATGTCCATACCCAAGAAGAGGCTCCTGTGCCAGCAGCCATCCCAGCTCTTCGGCAAATGGCTCTCCCAGGCAGAATCCCTGCAGCTGACTGAGGTGCGCCAGCAGGATCTGTAGGGGGATCCTTCGTGTGCTCTCTGTTCCCAGGAATCCAACCAAGGGGCCCAATGTCTCCAGCACTTCCCTTGAGATTGTTGTCTCCTTTGGAGCCTGAAGAGGGGGCATTAGGCCTTAGGACAATGCACCTGTGACTCAAAGGATCAGACTCTAATCAAGACACCAAGACCGTGACATTTCCTCCCTCCAACTTCTAACTCAAGACTCTAAGATGTTCATTTTCTTAAACAATAAGCTCAGATAAGAGCAGGCAAAAAGACTGGGAGGAGAAATCCAAGGAATTTCTTGGACTCCAAGAGCTGTGGACAAGAAATATGAAACCAAGAGATAGATCTAGGGCAGCGATTTTCAACAGTTTTCAATCTCATGGCACACATAAACTAATTCTAAAATTCTGCGGCACACCAAAAATATATTCTATTTTTTGCCAATCTGACAAAAAAATAGGTATAATGTTGATTCATTCACACCAGATGGCTATTGTTATATTGGCTGTTGTCATATTTTTATTTGACAATCTAAGGAAAAAGAGATCTGTGATTCTGACTAAATAGTCAGCTATTGCATATTTTAAAAAGTTCGTGAGCACACTGGTTGAAAATCACTGATCTAGAGTCTAGGACCTTAAAGATGAGAATCATAAGTAGCAAAAGTGTTACTAGAAGATAGAGGGCATTGTCTGAGGGATAAGAATTGCCCCAGCTCAGCTCTGAGTCTGGTAGGGTGGACTCTTACCAAATTTTGTAGTGCCTTCTCTGCCAGAGCTGCCCGGTGGAGTGGGGTCAGTGCCAGCAGTTGCTCTGGAGCAGCTCGTACCCGCTCTACCACCAACATAATGGATTCATTGGACAGTTTGTCCATCAACCGGACCCTATAGCAATATGATAACATGGGCATTGGAACTGAGACAAATTGAGACGGGACCATAGAATGCCACATTTCCCAGACAAAAGGTAACGTCAGATCAAACTCTGTGGCCCTGACTGATGTTAAATAGCCCCAGGTCCAATTCCCATCATAGTGCTTGAAGGGAGAGAACAAAGAGAATGACATATTTCTAGTCTTCCTGAAAAAAAAAAAAAAGACAAATAATCCTACCTTGTATAATTGAATCAAAAGCCAAGAATATTAAGTACCACTTACAAAACTTTCCTCATTTTATAAATCTTTTTAAAATGAAGTTCATAGAGATCAGCTGGTGAGGTCTTATTTCCAATTCTTGTTTTCCAGTGCCACCCTTCTTCTACTTGCCGTAAGGTAGTCCCCTCTTATTTGTATAGCACTATACAATTTACAAAGTTCTCTTTGGTACTATCTCATTTGATTCTTATGACAAAAGCTGGGGGTAAAAGTGGGGGTTTTGGTGGGGGGGGGTATGTTTTTTGGTTAATCCTTACAGGAGGATATTTTTTCATTGATCTTTTAGAGAGAGTGAAAGAGAGAAAGAAAGATAGAGAGAAACATCAATTCGATCAGTCGCTTCCTGCATGCGCCCCGACCAGGGAAGAGCCTGCAGCCAAGGTACATGCCCTTGACCAGAATCTTTGGTCTGCGGGCTGACACTCATCCACTGGGCCAAACTGGCTAGGATTAAAATAAGTATTTTTCACATTCTCTTTCACAAATTAGGAACCTGGATCTTCTCAGTAATGGTTCAGCATCATTGACCTCATCCAGACCCTAAATTATCTCTAAGAACCAACATATTTAAATAGATTTAGATGGCATTTAATAAGAGAGAGAGAGAGAGAGAAAGAGAGAGAGAGAGATACATACATACATAGATAGATGATAGATAGACAGATAGAGAAATATTTGCCCAATCAGAAGTGACATTGTGTATTCTATCTGGGTTTGCCATTTCTGGAACTAGGCCACCAAGTAGTATGAGAGCCAAAACTCTGTGAAAAGGCCTATAAAAATGAAAGGTGAGATTACCTGCTTTTACCATCATTTCATCCCCAAGAAGACTAATATCAGACTTTTCCTATTCTGGCTTACAGTTCTGATGACATTGGGATCAGAATCTCTGAGTTGAGAAGAGACCCCATTTCCTTTCTCATTCAACCCGTGGATATTGAATCTGCAATACTCATGCCATGGGACCATCCGGACCCAGACTTGAATCACTCCAATATCTCAGAATTTACTATCGCAATTTTCCTTATATTTTGCAAAACTCTGATTTTCATTCATTGTGTCTAGTCATGCCCAATGAGACCATTCAAAAACATGTCAATCTGCTTTCTATTTGATAGCTCTGAGGTATTTTTAAAATTGTATTTATTTTTATTTTTTTGTTAATCTTCACCCAAGAACATTTTCCATTGATTTTTAGAGAGGGAGGGATGGGAAGAGAGAGAGAAACATGGATATGACAGAGACACATTGACTGGTTGCCTCTCACATCCCGGCCAAGACTGGGGATCAAACCTGCAACCCAGATACATGCCTTTGACTGGAAATCGAACCCCGGAGCTTTTGGTACACAGACCAACACTCTAACCATGGAGCCCCACCAGCCAGGGATCCCTGGGGTATTTGAAGGCATCTATCACATTTTTCATAGATTTTCTCTTTATTTACTCCTCTGAACACATTAAGAACACAGAGAGCTCTAAGAGACTACAATCCTCTGGTGTAGAATTGGACTGCTGCTTCCCTCCTTTCAGATACTCTGCCTCTATTGGTGTGGCCTGGGTTATCCTCAGATGGCTTGGCAGGTCACATCACAGTGTTGCCACCCTGAGTTGTCCTATGCTGGGGCCATGTTCTGGGAACCAGATGATACTCAAGAGCAACTTTGAATAGAATCTCCTGCTTCTGGCTGTACTTGATTTCAAGGAACCACCAGACAGAAAACCAACACCTCTAGGGCATATTCTAAGGGCAGAGCTTCTACTCCAGATTGAGTTTTCTAAGGATCCAGAATCTCCAGTTGTAGCACTTACGGTAAGTCCAGGAGCAGCTTGGTGTCTAGTCCACTCAGTTCTGGCCCCAAGGTAGTCAGCTCTGGCTCTGGCATTGCCGTCCTTCGCTGTACCTCCGCCCAGATACAGGCCCTCTGTGGGACAGTGGGAGAAGCAGGGCAGGACAGAACTGAGCATGGGGGCTGGGTTCTATACTTAGGGTCCCTGCTCCCACTTAATGCCCAAACACCCTTCTCACCAGGCTTCCTCGAACCCCAGTGGGCAGTTGATAGAGCATGTGTACCACTTCAAGGAAGTCTGCCATCGAGTTGATCTGCTGCAGAAACTCACAGGACATGCCCCCCGCCAGGGTTCCCAGAGCCCTGTGGGTGTGTGAGTGCATAGATGTTCATTCAGCACATGCATAGCCTGTCTGCTCCTTGATATCAACACTCTCAACACAAGTACAGATATTTGCTTATGGTAATTTAGAGTTTGAGAAATGCCTTCCCATACATAGTCTCATTAGCTCCCCACAACATCACCACTATTCATCAGAGAACAAAGATGTACAGAGGTCAAATGTTCTTAACATCATTCTAGTAGAAATGTGGTCAACTGAGACTAGAGCCATGTCTTCACATTCTGAAGCCACGGTGTTTGTTTGTTTGTTTGTTTGTTTACTGCAGTGTAGGTAAGTGATATTTATTTATTCCTGCTTGGCCAGTGGCTGTGAAGTCACTTTGGATTAAACTAATAATAGCAAATATCTACTGGGAGCTTACACTGGACCAGGCACTGTGTTATGTACCTTAGGTACCTTATCTCATTTAATCTTCACAACTACCTGAGAGGTAGGTACCATTTTCATTCCCATCCTATAGAAGGAAAAAACTGATGCTTAGAGAGGGTAAGTGACTTTCCCAAAATCACAAATAGGTAACAGGGCAGAGACCTGAACCTTGGTCTTCTAAATCCCTTAGATCTATTTGGGTGGTGCTGTGGAAGAGCAGGGAGTAATTACAGGAGGAGCCAAGAGAAAGCCCACAGGTTGGGACCATGCACCATGCATCTCCACTGCATACCACATGGTAACCGGAACATGGTAAGCACTTAAAAATGTGAGTGCTCAATACAAGTCACTCACTGCAGATTCCTGAGGGTCAGGTTGGTGGGCACCTGCATCTTCTTCCAAAGAAACTGGGCCTACAAGAAAAAGAAAGAGGAACCGCTTCCCAGCAGAAATATTGCCCAAAGACCTTAGATGCCCTGGACCCAGTCCTGCCTCTGAACCTGTGGGCCCCACCAGTCACATTATACAGGATTCTAGGGAATAAGGCGCCAGATCTAGGGCTAAAGGAAAAATAAATGAGGTGGACAGATTGAGAGAGGGGAGTTGTGGAATAAGTGGGGAGAATTACCTGCTGCTCAGACCAGGGCAGCTCCCGGTAGCGCCTTCGGTTGGCCAGAAGAGCCGCAGTGTCCAGTTGCAGCAGCTTTAGTGGAAGCAGGGGAAGCAGGCAGTCTGGCCAAGTGGTGGGGATGGGCTGCCAGTGGGGATGGGTGTAGCAGTGTAGTGAAAGGTGAGAGGGTCTGGACTCAGCCCTCAGAGAAGAAGGGGAGCCATGGGGGCAGGAAGGGGCCAAGTCTAGAATCAGAGTGGAATGGTATGTGCCACTGTAGCAGTGCATACCGGAGAGCCCTCACATGGAGGGTGATTGTGGCGAAGTGTTGCAGCTATTTAGGCACCTGATGAACTAAAGTACCTTAGCCTCTCTGAGGCTTGGTCTCTTTTTCAGTAAGTGGAATAGTAGGCCTGGAAGGTTTCTCAGATCCTTCTGGCTTTGTATTCTAGAACAGTGTGGGTTATATTGTCCTGCATCTGGAACTGAGGAAAGCAGCTAATGTCTTGGTGGATACAAAGCTAACCTGAACTCTGAGGTCCACAGGTGGGGGACTGTGTGAGGCAGCACCAGCCATATGAAATTGCCCTGGGACATGGAGAGGAACTTAGTAGGGAGATCCCACACATACCTGACCAGGGATACACACAGCGGCACCGGCACCTGTTGTACCCGTACTTTTAACTCCATCTTTCACCTGCATAAGAAATAGGTGTGTATGTTGCTGGGTGTTTGTAAGGAAGAGGGGGGTATGGGAGGCCTTCCCTGGCCACAGGGAAGATGACCACCTCCCAACCAGAGCACACAGCCCCGATTGTCTCAGCCTCCATGCTGTTCTCATACCCGGAAGGTCTGCAGCAGTGCTGCGGTCTGGCAGTCTGAGAGGTGTGACAGTTCGGGGGCCAGGCAGGAACAGGCCCCGAGCAGAACTCTCATGGGGATGGCCTGCAGTGTCTGGGAGCTGAGGCCTGGCAACAGAGGATGCAAGGAGCAGAGCTCCTCCAAGGATAGCTGGGGAGCAAGAGAGACAAGAGGCCTGAAGAAGAGGGGCAGGGCGGTGGAGAAGCCAACAATCACAGTGCAGCCAGGCAGCAGGAATGAGGGGCGCTGAGAGGGAGGAAGAGGCGGATGTGGGATCCAGGGAAAGGGAGCACAGAGACCTCTCAAGGACGTTGAAAAGTTGCTGCTACTTACTTCATGCCCAGGAAGGAGCCGTCCAAGCAGCAGGGCAGCCTAAGGTGGGATGAGACAAGAAACAACAGTTCTCAGGTTCTGGTAGCTAGGTCTCAAGCAAGATCTGCCCTCCAAAACTTCCAGCTTTCTCTCTACCATCCCCAGGAACCAGCCTGGCTCCTGGCTGTTTCTTAATCTGAAGAACGGGGATGAGGGAGTCCTCCTTGGAAAGGAGGAATAGGAAGCTTCAGGGAGGCTGACAGGATTCCTGCATGAAATTCTCTTGACTGGCATTCCAGAAGGTAGGAGATGGATGCTGGGGAGTGAGATCGGCCTACCTGGGCAGGTGTGACACTGGTTCCATGCAGGACAGGAAGCATGGCTCTGAGCTGGGGCTCAGACAGCTCCTGCAGGAAGCGGAGGCCCAGCTGAGGGAAGAGAGGTGCCCATACTCGCAGCTCCCGGGGGCTCATCACAGCCCCTCCAGATGAGCGCAACACCCCCAGAAGTTCATATGCCACCTGTAACCAAAGAAGGTTTGGGAATGAAGAGAAAAGACAGGTGAACCTTAAACCTCTCTAATACTACATCTGATTGCTCAGAGCCTAGACTAGGGCTTGGAACCAAGGATGGGACAGGAACAGATTGGATTCAGGATGTGAAAGGATATGTTTGGAGTGGCATAGGCCTGTTACTATGGGACAGGTAGGGTCAAGAGGAGGTGGTAATGGATAAGAATAATATAAGGAATGGAGGTTGCAGAGGTGAGGAGTTGGGGGAGGGCTGGCAACACTGTGTTCAAGCTCGGTTGAGATGATTGGGTAAGTCCTCTACAGAGACCCAGGGAAATCCTAGAGACTGGTAGGCCTGTGCCAAGGGGCTCACCCGTCCTTGTGGGCTGAGGGTCCCATTGGCCGCACATTCCAGCAGCCCCTGTTCTACCGGTCCCATCGGATCATTCAAGGGGACTAGGCTCTGCAGCTCCTCAGGGGTCAGGAAACAGGCGAGGGGCCCCAGCCTGAGGAGGACACGAAGCTGGTCTTCATTTGATCACTGGGGCTGATACTAAGGCAGGGACCAGGTGGGCACATGGAGTAGGCACTCTGGCCACAAAACTAGGAAATGCCATAAAACTAGGGGAGCGCCATAGACAGGCCTCTCCTGGAGCCCTACACTGCCTGGGGCCCCTGCCTGCGCTCTTGCCCCTTCCTATCTATCACTTTAACCCATCATGACAGCAGTACCTGCTTCTCTCCATCTGGCCTTGATCACTGTTCCCACACCACTCACCTGCGCACCTGCTCCTCTCCGTCCTGGACACTCTGGTTCACCAGGCTACGCAGCACATGCCGGGCATGACCTGGTCCAAGACCTGCCGCTGGCCAGCTATCCTCCAGGGCCTGAATCTGAGATGGGGAGGGTCAGCTTGTGTTGGGGTCACTATGGGACAGTTGCAGGGAGATGGCTCACTAGGAGACATGCTTCTGACTCCAGGCCCACCTAGTAGACGATGGACTAGTCAAGTAAAGATGATTCTCATACCTGGTGAGGACTGAGCTGCAGAAAGTTCTCTAGAGGAAGGTGGGGGAGCAGAGGCAACACTGCCCACAGCAGCTCCTGGGGCCAGGCAGGCACTTCCCCGAACAGCTCAGGGGCCAGCAGTCGCCTTGCCAGAGCCTCTTTCTGTTCAGGCCTCATTTCTGGGCTGTAATCCCGGATGGCAGCCAGGCTGGGGAAAGTAGCGAGTCTTAATCCTCAGCCCTGTTTCAAATTGTCCCCTGTTCTCTGAAGTCCACTGCCATGGACAGGAAGGAAACTTCCTAGTTTTAATAGAGAGGAGCTCTAAAAGGAGCTGCTCGAAGCAAGTAGGGTTGGCCGGATCCTGACAGAATAAAAAAGACTGAGATGAGGTCCTTACACACTGTCGTTGGCCAACAGGGATGGTGGGAAACGCATCAGGTCAGAGACAGCCAAGAAGGGGATGAGTGGTGACAGATCAATGAAGAGCTGGGAGGTGAGGCGGGGGTACCGCTGGAGGAGCAAAGCTGTCAGGCGACCAAGGGCCTGCTCCTCAGATGGTGGTACCTGTGGGGGCACAGGAACGGATGCTCGTTCTGAAAATGCTCAGTATCTTTGCTATCTCCTCTCCTAACTACCTCTTTCCACTGGAGCAAGTCCTCTGCACACCCGGCTCCAGCACTCTTGATTTAAAGATCCCTGCCCCACCCACCCCTCACCCCCGTTCCTCTGCCCATCTATGCCCACCTGCAGCTGGGACCAGGAACGGTGCATGAGTGTCAGGAAGCCCTGAGCAGCCTCCCTCTCCGCGGAAAGCACCAGGTGCTGGAGATTTTCTGGGGGCATGTGCAGGTATGCCTGGGAGTAGGAAGTCATGGTGAGTATGGCCTCCCTAGGCAGGGACCTCAGGCCACAGCTGTCACTCAGTCCACCCAAGAGCCCCTCCGTCTGTTACCTCCATTAGAATCTGCAGGGCCCACACACTCTTCTCTCTCTGGAGCAGATCCCACAGCACAGGCTGGGGGGGAGACAGAACAGATGCCAAGAGAGCTGTCTTCTCTGCCCCTCCTGCAGCTTCCTCAGGCAGTCCAACTCCACTCGCTAGGATGCTTGTTCTTCATCTGAAGCCAGTATGTGTGTCTCCTCAGATATTCAACTCCTTTAGGTCAGGGACCATGTTTCTAACATCTCCTATGTCCTCTTCCAAGCCAGGTCTATTGTTGGCTCGATAAATACTTATAGATCTGAACCAAATTACTAGGAGTCTATCTAATCCCACTTCATGGTCCTCGTGCTTGAGAAAAATGGGCCCTAACATGGTATCATTGAAACATACCATCATCAAGAGTAAGAAATCTTTATATACCCTACAGACCCTAGCAAAGTGCCTTACACATGACAGGCACTCACTCAATGAATTATGGCATGCTATGCCCCTTCACTCTACAGAGAAGAAACTGAAGCCCCCAAAAAGCTAAATTAAGTTACTTGCCAAAGACCACACTAATTTGTGGCATAACTGAACTTAGAACCCAAGTCTTCTAATTCATACTTCCCCTGAATTTTTCTTATTTCTGCCTCACCTTCCTATTTTTTGCCAACCTCCAAGCCTCACGCTCTAGGGACAGAACTGAAGCTTTCTAACTTGATCCCTTTCCTTTCTGGAACAGAGAGAGGGAGTGTCAAAGAATCAGAAAGAAAATGAGACAACAGTTATTCTATGTCTCTATATCATGCACTGTGCTAAGCCCACAGCATGCATTATTCCATGTAACCCTTACATCCACCCTAAAAGAGTAGCACCATTATTCTCCCCCATGTCTAGATGAGAAAAATATTGCTCAGAGAGGTTAAAAAACTTGTCCAAGGTGATCATAGAACTAAGATGTGCACCTAGGACTGTCTGGCTCCAGAGCTGCATGCTTACTGCTGCCTCTCAATATCAGAGAACTCCCCGGGAGGCTCTACCCTCTGTTCCAGGGGCTTTGCCCTTGGCAGATCACTCACGCTGAAACAGGCCAGCAGCTCCCTCTTGCTTATTTCAGAGCTCGAGCTGTCAGTGAGGTCGGAGCCTGGTGAATCGGGCTGTTCCTCCTGTTCCAGGTATTCCCCAACTGTCCTCAGCACACTGCGCCGGCCCTCTGGGCGGAAGGCATCCCAGAAGGAGCAGTTGTCTGGGAGACTGGAGAGCAGCAGGGCCTGACCCAGCATCCCCTGGGCTTCAGTCCCTCCGGCCCCTGGACCCAGTAGGAAAGTCAGCAGGCGCAGAAGATAATGCAGACGTGTAGGGTGGGCAAGGGCCGGCACAGAGGATTGGCAGCGTGGCAATTGGGAGAGCATGCCAAGCAGGAAGGGACCCGGGGCCAGGCAGAGTGGGGACGGTCCCAGTGGTGGCAGAGAGGGTAGAAGAGGGCCCAGTAGCCCATCTAGGAAGCAAGTGTCATTACCTCCACGACTTATTCTGCACTGGCCTGCTAGCCAGGGCCAGTAGGGCACTAGGGCCTCATACATGGTATCATTGAAACATACCATCATCAAGAAATTACCCCCATCTGGGCAGCGTTCCCCACAGGGCCCAACGTGGCAGGGTGGGAAAGCAGTTATATCTGGGGTAGGGCCCTGGCAGACATGCTGAACCCAAGCTTGGTTACTGGGGGGCACAGCCTGCAGACTGGCCTTCCTACACATCCGCTCGGCCCACAGAGTCTCATTCTCCAAGAAGCAGCCCCAGAAGATCTCTGGGGTGATGGGGACAGGAGGCAGGCCTTCAGGGCAGCTGGTGGGGGGCGGGAGCAGGCCAGCACAGAGCGGCTTTACCAGGCGGCGGTTGGGGCCAGACAGGGCTGAAAACGAGAGGTTGGTGCAGATGGCTTCCAGGAACTGATCGGGAAACTGGTCATGGCAGGCCTGCAGCCAGCCTTGGGCGCCTGGTGCCCAGGAGAGTGCATACCACACAGCTGTCTGGCAGATGGCAGTGATGCTGGGAGGGGGCTCCGGGGTGGCGGGCCTGGCGAGCTGGCAGAGCAAGTGGACGGAGAAGTTGGAGATGGTGTAGGGTGCTCCTGGGGAGTGGTTCTCGCAGAGGGCTTCCACGGAGATGGCGCGCCGTTGGCGAGTCCTGAGGTGGGCAGAGGGCTGGGAAGCCCTGGGCAGAGGCGCACCTGTTCTCAGGCATTGGAGGAGGGCGGGGGGTGGGGGTGGTGATCCAGACAGAAAGCCCAGCGCCTGGGCATCCCAGGAGAGGTTGTGCCGGACGCCCCTGGATGGAGAGGGAGGAGCAGGCAGGATCTGGTCAGTTTATATTCCCCCAGCTGAAGACTCTGGCCGTGCCAGAGCCCTGCAAGGAGGTTCCTGGGAGTTAGGTGTTACAGGTTAAAATGCTGGGATTCGGGAAAAAGGGAGAGAGGTCTGTCTTGCTAAGACAAAATCACCTAATAACATGGCCCAGTTGGTGTCCATCTGTCTTTCTGGCCCTTTCTTCCTCCTTTTTTTTTTTATATGCTTTTGTATAGCTTACACACAACCCTCGGTTGGCCTCAATCAGGAAGTCTGTCCACCAACTGAACATGTCAATTGTGCTCTGGCACTGTTGTACTAAAATGGTGAGGGGTGAAGAAATCTGGTCTTGTCCTTTTCCCCCCATGTCCCATCGTCATTAACTGACATTCATTAAGGCCTGTGTGCCAGGAACCATTCTATGTGGCTTACACTTACAGTGTCAACTTATTTAACCCCTTGCAACAACTCTGCGGTAGCTAATGCTTCCCATATTTCACATTGGGGAAACTGAGGTACAGAATGAGAATGTGACGTAGAGCTGCGACACCAACAGAGTCACATTCCAAAACCACCAAACTACACTCCTCCCGTCCTCCTCTCTGCTCTGGAAGCTGACCGATTCCAGGCCCAATTCCCACAACTCCACGCCTGTTACTTACCATAAGAACAGCTGCTGAAGGTTGCCTAGGAGGGAAAGAGTAAGAAAGAGGACTACCCCAATCTCTTCCCTTCTTGCGCTGCCATAGCCCACCCCGGCTCCAGCAGCACTCACCTGCCTGGCACTGCCCATTGGCATCAGGCTCTGGCAGCCCCAGAATGGAAAAGACCTCATCCTGCAGGGAGTCAGTGACACGGAGCAGCCCCTCCTGGAAGGCAGCGTAGAGGGGGACCCCCACGGTGCGCAGAAGACCTCCCCAAAGAGCCTCTTCAGAGCCCAGCTCCCCCACCGGGGTGAGCAAACTCAACAGACCCTGTATAAAGTGGGGGCCTAGCTCTCTCCCGTCCAGGCCTGTGGCATTGGTGGGGTCCATACTGGGCTGCACCTGCACCAGGGCCTGCCAGCGTGTGCCCTCCAACAGCAGCAGTAGAGAAGGCAACCAGTCAGCCACCAGGACACAGTCAGAGGGCCCATCGCGGGTGCATGGGGGTCGGGTAGGGGTAGGAGGTCCCCCAGGAACGACAGCTCCCAAAAGCACCTCTGCAAGTCCACCCAGTACGCCTGCCTGGTGCCCCAGGAAGTCCCGGGGGGTCTGCTCCTGTCCCAGCAGTGCCAGCACATCCCCTAGCAGCCCTAGCATTGGCTCCCAGTCTGGGCTGCCTCTTAGGGTCACTAGGAAATCATGGAGCCGCAGGGCAGGGGGTTGGGGAGGTGGGGGCTCTCCCACCGGTCCCTCCCCCATCCTCCCAGATTCAAAAGAGGAGGAAATGTTGGCCAGGAATGCAGAGAAGCGAGAGCGGCTGAGGTTCCTCTGGGGAGCCTGGTCCAAAGTGGAGAACAAGGACTTCAGGAGGGAGAGGCCGTGGTCCTGGGACTTAGGCCCAGTAGGGGCCAGAGTCACTGTAAGGAGAGAAATTGGAGGTCACTAAAGGGTAAGAGCCTAGAACCCAGACTCAGTCCTGGCCTGGACCCCAATCCCAGTCCTGGATCTCAAGATGAGGTGAGGGAGGCAGAGGACTGGGTCTTTTTCATCAGCCTACATTAAGTCTTGGACTCCTTTCTTAACTCATTTCCCCCATTAGCTCCAGTCCCTGCCCCTTTTCCTTGCCCCTTTCCTTATCTTTTACCTAACCAGCTAATCTCCGCATTCTTAAGTCTTTTTCCAGCAACCATCCCCCCCGCACTGCTCACTGTTCCTCTCACCTGCACAGGACAGCAGCAGCAGCAGCAGCAGCAGGGGCCAGGGGCTCAGAGCCATGTTTCCAGGTGAGCACGGGGACTGGAGATGAATTCCGGTTATTCTCACCTCGTGTGGGATAGCCAGGTAAGGCAGGGCACTGCAGGCAGCCTGAGTCTCCACTGACACTGTAGTGTGGTCTTTCAGGAAACAATATCTGTAACTTGACAGCAGGTTTGTCACCTGAGCCACTGACTAACCTGATCCTTTGGCTTCAGAGAAAGGTGTGCTTCTGTGAGAGAGATGGATGATAGGGGATGGAGGGAGGGGGGCTGGGAGGAGCCCTAGGGGACAACTTCAGTGAGGAGTCAGGATACAAATAGGAGTAGACAGACACAGAGATGGAGACCTGGAGACCCAAGGTGTAAAAGGGGGGCTCTGCTGAAAAATATAAGAAAATAAAGGGGGCTCAACAAGAGTTAAAAGGCAAGTAAGATCTGAGGGAATCAAGGAAGAAAGGGGGCCTGGGAGAAAGGGACTTGGAAGCCAGGTGTACATAGAGAAGAGGAATGAAAACAAAGTTCTGGTCCAAGGATGGAGCGTTCAGGAAGAGGATGTCTGCTTTTGATTCAATACCCAGAACCACAAAATGCTAAGAGCTGGGTGGGACTTCAGAAAGCACACAGACCAAACCTCTCATCTTATGGATAAGAAAATAGACCCGGTCAGTTGTTTGCAATTTGCTCATTAAGCTATCCAGATGTTTGGGGCTGCCCTTCAGCTCTCTTACTATCGATATGACCTAAGTAAAAGCCCTATAGAAAAGTCTGGGGGCATAAAGGGAAAAAAAATGTCTGAGCTAAGAAAAGAGGTAAACCAGATTAAACCTCTGTGCAAGGGGCTACCCCCCCCCGACCCTTGTGGAGAGGGAGAGGGGGAGAGAGAGAGAGAGAGAGAGAGAGAGAGAGAGAGAGAGAGAGAGAGAGAGAGAGATGGGGGAGGGGAGATCAGAGATCTCATTCAAAATAATTTAGTCTGGACTGGTGTGTCAGGGTGAGAAGTTTCTTCTGTCCCCCATTTATATATCCTCAAAGGTCTTCACCTGATACCAGCTTTAAATAGTAATTCAACACTGAGGCTCTTCTCAAACCATTATTCTGTCCCTTTCCTTAGAACCCTCCTCTATTCTATTCCCCAAACCCACACCTTCAAATCCATTATTAATGCATCTCTGCTCAAATGGTTTACTTAGGAGCATAGACTTTTAGAGCTGGAAGGAACCTGAGGAATCCTCTAGAAAAAAAAAAAAGTCTCATTTTATAAATGAGGAAATTAATGCCCAAAGAAATAGAATGAGTTGGTCCAGGCCACAAAAGGAGTTGAGGGCAGTGCTGGAATTTTCCAAGATGAGCCAAAAGTTGGGACCAGTGAAATTACCTGCATCACTTTACCAATATTTTCCTTTTCCCACATATAATCTGAAAAGTATAGAGGACAATCAGAGAATATCGCATGGTTTTCCAACAGCTCTCTAGCTCCTGGTTCCAGTAGATTTTGCAATCCACCTGAATTTTTGCACTTGTTCTGGAAAAAATCTCTTATAATAAATTATCCTCCCCTCTCCCCCAATACACTAGCCAAAAAAACAAAATGGCATAGATTAAATTCTAGACCCAATATTGAATAGCTGTGTAGTTTGGGAAGTTTCAGATCCTCTCAGTGTCACAGGGAAGTTTCAGACCCTCTCGGCATCATAGTATTCTTTTCCATAAAAAGGAGAAATACTCGTATAGAGTTGTGATAATTAAGTAATGTCTTTAAAGTACTTAGCATAGTGACTGGCATTCATTCAACGCATCATGCACCAGGCACTGATACAGAATAAGCATGCACTAAATGTTACTACTATTATTATTAAAGTAGCCCAACATGAATTCTTTTATTTGAAGTTAAAGAGTCTTAATTCATAAAGAAATTGTTTCCAAGTAGTGTCTTGAGTGAAAAACCTTTAAAACAGGTATGGAACTAGCTGAGTCAAGCAGAGAGAGGAACAATGAGGACTGCCTTAACCCAGGATGGGAAATTCTTAGTAGTTCACATGATGATGTAGTAAGTAGTTGGCTAAGCAATCCTGTTGTCTGCCAAGGAATGAGACTATGTGCCAACTGAGGGTGAAGTGCTTCGGGTGTATATCAAATATATCAGGCTATCAATACTAATAAAAGGGTAATATGCGAATTGGTCATGATGTCCGCACAGTAACAACCAAACAGCAGGCTGCATGGGGCAACCAGGCTGGCAGAGGGGGCAGTGAGGGGTAACCAGGCTGGCAGAGGAGGCAGTGAGGGGAACCAGGCCAACAGGAGGAATAGTTGAGGGCAACCAGGCTGGTTAGGGGGCAGTTAGGGGCGATTAGGCTGTCAGGCAGAGGTGGTTAGGGATGATGAGGCTGGTGAGGGGGCGGGGAGCAGTTAGGGGCAATCAGGCAGGCAGGCAGGTGAGCAGTTAGGAGCCAGTGGTCCCGAGTTGTGAGAGGGATGTCCAACTCCTGGTTTCGGCTCAATCCCAGGGAGTCAGACATCCTGCAAGGGGTCCTGGATTGAAGAGGGTGCAGGCTGGGCTGAGGGACCCCCTTCTCCCCTCCGTGCACGAATTTAATGCACTGGGCCTCTAGTTACAAATAAAGTTCCTAAGGACAGACAATTGCATATTTTCCCCTGGAGTTTCTATGAGAGGTTTGGGCTAAAAAATGGAATTATAAGGCATTAGTGTACAAAACCATAGCAATTGAAACCATAAAATTAGATGAAACTAGTTAGAATTTGTAGAGTATTAAGCAAAAAATAAAAAATTTAAAAATTTTTTTTAAAAATGGCTGAGGACCACACATTTAAAGTTTGGGAAGAAGATGGCAAGCAAAAAGGTGGAAGGGAAGCAAAACAATGGAACACTTGAAGACAGTGGTGTCATGAAGCCACAGAAGAACATTTCAATAAAAGTGTTGGGGGTATGGGAAGAGACTGGACAAAAATCATACACCTATGGATAAGGACAGTGGTGGAGGGGGGGAGGGTTAAGGGCATTGGGTGGGGTGGGAACCAGCTGGATTAGAGCTATGGGGGGCAAAAAGAGGGACAATTGTAATAATCTGAACAATAAAGATTTATTAAATTAAAAAAAAAATTTAAGTGTATTGGTCAAAATGATGGGTGGTGGTTTTGAACTTTGTTAGTTTAGCTAAACTGGAACAAATTTCCCAGAATTCCTTTCCCTGTTTAGTTCCATGTTAGGATTCGTAAACAAGAGAAACCTGTGGGATTTGAGAGGAGGAAGTAAAGCAGCAAAGGCCTCTAGTTAGAGGTGTTGAGGGATAGACACAGATATGGAGGGGAGGAGGTCCAGTTTGTCCTCACTGAAAGAGGATAAAAAATAGGCATATAGGTCAGTCAGATAAGTGTTCTTATTTAGTCCTATAAAGACTTTTGTAAAATCATAGCTACTTAGAGGAATCTAGCTATGTCCCTCCTGCAGCTTCCTACAGTCTTCAATAGCGAAACATAAGTATCATCTTACACTAGACTGGTTTATAAGCTCTCAAGCAGAGATTACACCCTACTGTACCCTAAGTGCAATAAATAAAAAAATATTATGCAGAGACCCAACAGTTACTGGCACGTGGTATTAAACAAAGGATTTGTTAAATAAATAAATTCTAGCCCTGGTCAGGTAGCTCAATTGGTTAGAGTGTCATCCCAATATGCCAAGGTTTTGGGTTTGATCCCCAGTTGGGGCACTAATAAATGCATAAATAAATAGAATAACAAATTGATGGTTTCTCTCTCCTCCTCCTTCTTTTCCTCCTCCTCCTCCTCCAACTCCTACTCCTCCTCCTGTTTCTCCTCCTCCTCCTTCCTTCCCTCTCAAATCAATAAAAATTAAAATTAAAAATTATTTTTGCCAAAAGCAGTTTGGCTCAGTGGATAGAGCATTAGCCTGCAGACAGAAGGGTCCCAGGTTCAATTCCGGTCAAGGGCATGTACCTTGGTTGCGGGCACATCCCCAGTGGAGGATGCGCAGGAGGCAACTGCTCGATGTTTCTCTCTCATCGATGTTTCCAGTTCTCTATCCCTCTCCCTTCATCTCTGTAAAAAATCAATAAAAAAAATATTTTTTTAATTAATTCTACCACACACATTCTTGGCCCATATTACAAGGGCTAAGAACTGTTCAATGGACCTAACCAGTTTGGTTCAGTGGATAGAGCATCAGTCTGCAGACTCAAGGGTCCCAGGTTCAATTCCAGTCAAGGGCATGTACCTTGGTTGCCGGCACATACCCCATAGGAAGAGGCAGCTAATCGATGTTTCTCTCTCATCGATGTTTCTAACTCTCTATCCTTCTCCCTTCCTCTCTGTAAAAAATCAATAAAATATATATATATTTAAAAACAACTGTTCGATGGTGATGAATTTCCTGCTTCCACTCAAAGAATTTATTTTATCTTAATTTTTAAATGTTTTTTCTTATTTTTAAAAAATATATTTTATTGATTTTTCACAGAGAGGAAGAGAGACAGATAGAGAGTTAGAAACATCGATGAGAAAGAATCATCGATCAGCTGCCTCTTGCACATTCCCTACTGGGGATGTGCCCACAACCAAGGTACATGCCCTTGACCGGAATAGAACCCGGGACCTTTCAGTCCACAGGCCAACGCTCTATCCACTGAGCCAAACCAGTTTCGGCATTTTCATTTTTTAAAATATATTTTTATTGTTGATAATATTACAGATATCTCCCATTTACTCCTCCCTTCTCCCTCTCCTCCCAGCCTCTACCCACTCTCCATGTCTTTACCACCCTATTGCTCATGTCCATAGGCTATGCCAGTGGTCGGCAAACTCATTAGTCAACAGAGCAACGATTGAAATTTCTTTTGAGAGTCAAATTTTTTTAACTTAAACTTCTTCTAATGCCACTTCTTTTAAATAGACTTGCCAAGGCCGTGGTATTTTATGAAAGAGCCACACTCAAGGGGCCAAAGAGCCCCAAGTGGCTCACGAGCCGCAGTTTGCCAACCA